GGACGCACCGAGCGCCACTGCGTCGTTGCGTTTTCTTGACTGAGGAAACACAATTTTGCTAAGGGGTCGCAAGTCGCGTGGTTGCTCACCGGGCACGAAGGGCTATCGCTCTCTTCGCTGGAGGTGTATGTCGAGGAATCTGGGTCCACGACGACGACGTGCGGCCATGTGTTCGCCGACCCGGAGATGTGGGCGAGAACCGCGGGGTCATCGATATCATGTAGCGGAGCCGTGTGATTCTGCCTATCGATGTCCGGACGATGCCGTGCAAGCCACGGCATCTTAAAAATACAGTCAATTGATTTACTAAGGTTAATTACCAGGAATTCATCGCTTCTCACAAAGCCGTCAAATTGATACGGCACAACTACGGAACGCTGTCGCAGCGTGCGTGGCTTGCCGTCAGCATTCTTGACGGCCGTCTCTCCCAATTGCTCGCTGACACACAGCCTCGAGGGGATAATCGTCAAACTTTTGGCGCGAATAAAGTTATTTGTCGCGCTTGAATCCAGCAAATCACGAAGGGTTAACTGGCGCCGTCGACACACACACTAAGTACAATCAGTCGCTTTTCATAGCTAGATGTGGTGGCATTAAGCTGCGCATGGACCGCAGCGGAGCTAGAAGAAGGAGTCACCACCGGAGGTATGTTTCATCCAATTTGCCCAGTAAGGCGCCCCGCGCCTACTGGTTGCCACCAATTTTTGACTGCGCAGGCGGATCGACATGTTTTTTTAGATTCCACAGCGTCGAGAACGGGAGATGGCGCGCGGCACACAGCGCGATAATCCGGTTTGTGACAACGGAAACACACTAAGAATCTTTCCGAACGAACACCACTACTACGCGTAGGCATTGAGCGTCGAGACCGCGATGCTTCGACTGCGTCGATTTTCATTGGCTCAGGAGCCGATGCACGGATGTCTGTCATCAAGGTCGTGGCGCATCAAGAATCCACGACATAGTCTTCCCGAAGCGCGATAGCAAAAGCCTCTTCAAGGGAAAGATGTTCGGCACGCGTAAGGCAGTATCTCGTAATGCCTTCGCGCATGCCAAAGGCGAAGACGTGAACTTGAGACGCCATATCGACCGTCTTCGTTGAACGTAGTCGCGCATAGAAAGCTTGCCTTGTTTAAGGTCAAATAATTCGGTACGTAGCTGCGACTTGTCTTGTGGTGGCTCAAAATCCAGTCGTAGGTCAATCTGGAGCGCGTCCAGAGTGGGTAGGTGTACTTGGTGACAACAAGCTTTCCCAAAGCCCACTTTTTACCTTACCAGTCGGGCGTGCGAGGAGGAAATTAACATTCGATGACATCGCCTCAATAAATCTCGAGGCGATAGCAATATCGATCTCCCTAAACCAATGATTGAGTGGGATACAACCTGTACCCGCACCCGAGTAGAGGGACGTCTTCATTTTGACTGCTTCCATTCTTGGAGAACGCGAGAAAGTTTGTACTTGCCGATTCGCGTCGGCGAGCTCGCGTACTATGAACTCTTGGGCGGCATACGTTGTTGACTCGGTGACGCTGCGTTTAGCAGCGTCGTAACAACAACTTGGCCAGACACCGCTGCGAAGCGGTGAAGGGCTTCCCACTCCATAAGCGTGAGGTGGGGGAACGGATTTTGTTCCAGTGTCTTCATTACAGGTTTGAAGGGCTTGTCGTCGTTCATTGCGTTGGAAGGATTCCGAAGTGCTACCAAGTGTAACGGGGCGAGAGCTCCGTGACGTAGCTAACTCTAAGATCTTGCGAGGAAGAGGAAGAAGTATGCAATTACTTGCGTACTTAAGACTATTTTTAAATTCTGTTTTAATATTAAGGTTACTTTCAAAATCTTAAACCCTCAGTGAACCACCCAAGTACGTGTCAAATATTAATTGAGTGCAATGGGGCTAAATCCCACTTTCAACCAATCAAATAATGACACTAAAAAATACGCTATTCGCATCTTTTTCCTTTTCCTACTTTATGTAATATTCTCAATGCTGTCTACCTAATTATGCATAATAACGGGAGCGTTATTATTGCCATATCGTACTTGATATGGCGTGTTCCGGTACGATTCCGTTACAGGATGTGAGGTCTAAGTTGATCAGCTATAGAAGCGTTAGGACTGTTGTTAGCAAGAACCATTTCGGTGGTCATCCGTAAAAATTGGAGGGATACAGAGAAGATTAGCGTGGCCCAAATTGATACAATGTACTACACCAAACTCTTCCGTTAGTGCATGTGCTGCACTCTTTGCGGTGGACATAACTGGTCGAGACTGCTTCTCATCAACACATCCGTCGAATAGAAGTCTCGTTTTGCTTGTTGCATCATGATGCCATAATTGGCCATGCGCATCACATCGATTGAATTGAGGTGGCTAAATCGCTTGTGCCACACTATCAGCGTTAGCGGTCGTTTTTGCCACAGCGTTGTTGCCATGTTCACTGGTTTCCACGACGTAGCATATTCTATGAACCCAAGGTGTTTTGACCACCACTCTCTGCCAAAAGCCTACACCCAGTTTGGCTTGCACTGTGCGCCGCTCTCATCGTAACGGACCATAAATCCAAGATCTTATAGCTTTGATACTAAGAGAATATTACCACTGGATGATGAAATATGATGAACATTCTTGACGGCAATGTGGTGAAGCGTTTTAAGAACGGGGAAGCCTAAGGACCAGTGGGCCAAAGAGAATGGGGTTCCCAAGGAGGAGCGAGCGTCGGGTAAGGGACAGAAAGAAAGGATGCCAATGAGGAGGGGTAACAACTGTTGGGGGAAGAATTCACGGTTAAAGCCTGCTAGTTGGCCGCCAATCAGAGGCCGCGGTTGCCCGATGGAATACGGTTGCTCAAGGTAGACCCCGGTCCTTCAAAGTCGACCCTGGTCTATCTTTGGTAGATATCGGTCTTTCAAAGTCAACCATGGTCTATTGTTTGTAGACCTTGATCTTTCATCAAGGCAGATCTCCATCTTTGGTCGATGGACCCTCGACCAGTGCCAGGAGGTCAACCTTAGTCCTTCGGTCGATAGACTCTCGACCTCGGTCCCTGGAGGTCAATCTTGTCCCGATAGACCTCGGGACTTTGGTTGATGGACCCTCGGCCCCTGTCCCTGAGGTCGACCTTGGTCTAGAGGTCCAGATACCCTAGCCAATCAGAATTAAAAAAGGTAAAGATAGAGTAAAGAACTACTCAATAGGACTATATTAAATACTACTCAATTTGCTATATTAAATACTACTCAATTTGCGATCTACGTAGCACACCTCCGTCGTGCTTCCAGGAAATTACTAAGTCTACCCACTTGTTCCGGGAAGGAATATACTTTGGCCTCCCGTCGAAGACAGTCGTGTGGTAAGACCCAAATGCGAATAGAGCCCCAGGATATATTTGGCCTGTGGGTTCGTCTGAGTAGCACCCCCAATCGACCCGCTATCGGAAGCAGTCTCCCTACCCTAGTGGTTCGGGAGCAAGTAAAGGCCAGGCGGTTCACACCCCTGAAATACCAAGGAAAGGAAGGAAACGGCCAGGGTTGCGAATCTCTCCTAAACAGTTTGGTCATAAGCCCAGCCTCGACCTAGTGGCTACCTACTGGCCTAACGAGTAAAGAATATTCGCTTGAGGCACCACAATGTCGATCTCTTTTAAGACCGACATCTGATCTCCACCAAGTCTTCCAAAGATTGCGTCCCGCCAGACGGCCGATACACAAGGTGAGAAAAGGTCTATGCGCGGCATCGCGGTACCCTCTTCGACAGTCGGCAATCCGGCACAGTGAGTGTCTTGGGGTCTCATTACGCAATTTTGAGAACCCACTCCTCCACAGAAATCTCTCGCACACAACTATCGACGGGTAGATGGATTTATTTCTTCACCAACTTTCGTAGCACGTTTTGTGAGAGCAGGTACTTGATTACCTTTGGCTGTCCATAAAGACGCGATAGAAACTGTGGTGGTGTCTTCATCTGGCATATTCGTGCTTATCACGTTAAGGGTTCCTTGAGTTTCTTGTGTCTCATTTTCTTGAACCTGAGTCACCATGCTTTGTTGACGACGCCTTTTGGGACAACCCCTTTTGATGTGGCCAAAATTCCTGCAAAGATAGCATTTATGTCCTTCACCTATGCTGATGTAAGTTAAACTTGCTCAGAACCACTTCTCTAATACAATTTGCTCTTGTTTTTCCTGTCATTGTGTAAAGTCATTTTGTTGTAAAAGACATCCTGAATATTGTCGGTTGAGACGTCATCTCTCTTAACGCGGTATAGAAACTCGATTGCCTTCTCGATTCCCTGTATCTAGCACGCCAATCTCCATGGGACAGTCTCTTGAGAAGCGGGAGAAGGCAAAGAATGCTCCATGCGCGAAGCCATGGCACTGAGGTCTTTGCGCAACGCGATCGCAGACACCTCTTCAAGCGACGTAGGGAGCTCCCGCGCAAATAAAAACGCTGATGTGCAGCGTTCATTCCCGTGACGAACACGTGGACTTTTGTAACTGTATCGATCAGATTGGTGACGATGCAGGGCTCCACGTGTCTTGCTTGCTGGATATAGTCCAGCATCGACAGGCGACTCTGCTTCAGCGCCAAGAAAGCCGAGCGACGGTGGTGCTCATCCTGCGGAGACTCAAACGCCAGGCGCAGTTCGTCCTTAAGGTTCTCATATCCGGGAAATCTCCCACAAGCTTGCCCAGCGCTCACTCCTTTGCCTTTCCTGTCAGCTTGGACAACAGTGTGCGAGCTCTGAGTTGAGCTGGAGGGCTTGAACATAAATGTGTGTAGCAATGCGTTAGGATCTCAACTAAGTAACGTGTTGGAAGTGGGGAGATTACTGAATGCAGACGATCGGCTTGTACTCGAGACTAATCCACTACCAGGAGAAGTCAATGCTTCTTGTTTCAGTCACCTTACCGCCACAAACTGCACCCAAATGTTAAGACCACCTGGTCAGTGTCAACATTGCTATTCCAATAGATTTGGAGCGTCTGCGATGAAGCAGCCATGAGTTTTAGAGCGCTATGCGCCTTCATACCGAGTCAGCATCAAACAATGCGGTACAAACAACAACTTCAACAATTTGAAGCACTTTTACACCTCGTTACTGCCGTTCATTACACTTTGAAACTAGCTGTTGAAATGTCTCTGAACACTAGAGGCAGAATTTTTGTCGCTCTATGAGTCGTAAATGTAATTATATCTGCATCCTATGGAGCATCGTATGCGTCGTTATTGCACGTCATGTGGTGCAAATCATGAAGGTAGTTCTAAAATTGCTACTACAACATAACGCGAGACCTTATACAAAAATTGGTACTACCTGATCGTTAATATAACCGATCACAACGTCTTCAGTTTATTCGACTTTCGGTTTTTGAACACCGTTTTATTATTGCTCTATCTATTGATACAATACATTGGGCAATCTATTATGGAAACTCCTCTAGTCGATGAACGTAGCCCTAGGACTAACTACCACCGCGTTGACTTACATAAGACAGATCCAACAGAGATGAGTGACACGAGCTCTCCGGGTGCGAGCTCTTTAAAGCGTTTTGCGTGCCAGTTTGACCCTGGCTCGAGAAATGGACGCGTGCTGGTGTTACTGTTTGATCGTGACGGTGACTCGGAGTTCAAGGAAATGAGCAGACTAGACGTGCTGAAGATGACGCAGCAAGCGGCAGTGCCCAAGAAGGAAGATCCGGAGGATGTTGCCGAGGTTGCAGACGTTGCGAAAGTTTCGATGCGGAGGCTAGGAAGTCTAGGCGCCAAAGGTCGACGAGCCAGCATGAATGTGATGCGTGGTGATGGTGGGGGGCCAGACGGACCTAATTACGCGACCGTCTGTGACGTGCAGGTTGGCATCAAGTACTGGAGATGGTTGTCGTCTCGATCTTGAATAACTTTTTGTTGTTGTTGCTGTTCTATGGGTGTGATGCAATGGTAGCGTGTTCACGCACGAGATATTCGACGGATGGAAAACGCTTTCTCTGTGTCGAATGAGCCATCGATAATTATACGAAAGCAAGCGATTCTCATCAGTGCTGGTACGATTACAGATGCAGAGTTGAGAACGATGATGACGTTTATGCTAATCGTGAATTGTGTGAACACTGAAGACCCGTTGCGAGCAATTGTGATGCGAGATGTGTGTCTCGTGTACGTTCCCGATGGAGCAGACAGCCTCTTGTCTATTCTTAAGGATAAATTCAGTCAGGTTGCTCGAGAAAATGCGGAGGATCCGTACGAATTTAGGTTCGTGCAAACTTGAAGTGATAGTATTGGTAAAAGCTGTTAAGTGACACTATTAATGCAGGGCGTTAGAGGCGTTGCTAGCGACACTTGCGCGGTACTTTCAAGCAGACTACGAAAAACTCTCTCCCATCGTAGTGTCTGCATTGGATCGGCTGGTGCAAGGAAATCTTCACTCACGCGAGCTGGAGACGCTGCGCGAGTTCAAAAAACACGATGAATGAGTTTGAATCGCAGGTGGACGGTGTGCGTCGCGTGCTAATGGAGCTGCTTGATAACGAAGAAGATCTCCGCTTGCTCTATCTTACCAAGCTACATGAAGACCCCTCTTTGCTGACAGATCTGTACAGTTTTGACTCAGAGGAAGCTGAAGTTTTGATTGAGAATTACCTTCAAGACATCTTTTCTACACGCACGAAGGCAGATCTCATGCAGCATCGCATTACAAATACGGAAAGTTTGGTGATGTTGAAGCTTGACTCGATGCGAAACTACTTGCTTCGAGTAGATCTTGTGTTCTCGCTTGCAACGATTGGTTTGTCGGTGGGCACACTACTTGCGGGAGTCTTTGGCATGAATCTAGCGTCGGGGGTTGAGGAAGCGTGGGGATGGTTTTGGGGAGTTGCGATAATTTGTGTGGTAGCTTTCGTGGTTATCACTACCGTAGGCATTTTGTTTTTCAGACAGAAGGGAGTGCTGCAAATTTGAGGGCATGTAGTAGATTCCATTGATATAAATTCTTGATTTTAAACAACTGTATGTTCATATATTCGTGATAGACCTCCAGAAACAGCATGTGCACTGGCCAAAAACGCAGCTACTGTTTTTCAAATCTAACAGCACCAAGTGTAAACTGATCCTGACTGCCCTTCGCTAAAATCTCACCAAGCTTTGTGCCAATGAGATGATGGTTTGTGATCTTGATGTCACGCTGCTTGCGAGGTCGATTCTTCTTCTTGTCCTCCTTCAGGCGGCGCTTGAGTTGACGGCGGTTTGCATCAACCTTAGCCTGCGTTGTCAAACCAGCTTGAACCAATTTCTTCTCAAACTCAGCACGATCCGAGGGCCATGTTCGTAAAGTGTCACGCCACAACTGGCGGATGTCATTTGTGGCACCTACAAAGTGTTGGCACAATACAGATTAAATTTTTTGGTGGTGCATACAACGTTCAAGACTTTTCGTTGCACGCGCACCATGCTTCACCAATGGAAACTTGGGACCACGCTTGGGCAAAAGATCCCAGCGATCACTGCTAGCCACATTCCACCTCTTTGCATCTGGAAACGGAACATCCAAAGGAAGGTGATCCTTATCAAACTTGAACATATACCTGTACAATCACAGCAGTATACAATCAGTACTAACAGTCTCAACCACTGAAGCTTAAGAAGAAGTCACAGCTAAGCCCTGCAATCAAAGACACACTTAATCTTCTTCGATACATTAGGATCTCGCGTAGACGAAACGCTTTTAGAGGTCACCCCTGCAAATGGGACTGGACGGGTAGTGCTTGAGCTCTACATATCACACAAAAAACGTCGGTACAAAACATTCTTACAACATTTAACCTGCCCTATACCTTTACTGCTGCTGATACACGGAACCAATGATCTCCAAGGCGGAATGCATCGCCACGCCGTATTTCTTCAGTAACATCTTGGCTGGAATGGGCCAAGTAGCTGCCAGCCTCAACCGTGGCAACTCCAGATAAATCCACAAGAAAGGCAGCTCCGCGAGAGTAGTATACCTCTGCACCCTTGTCCGCGTTCTTTAGACAAATGATCTCTCCTGTACGCGTCAGCTCTTTCAGGTCGTCCTCCACTCCCACGTAGCAATCGATCAAGTCCTCAATCGGCATCCCCTCGGGAATCTACACATTCGACACACCAATCGAATCAACATCCATCAAGCAACAATCCACTAGAACGCTCGCAACCTTACTCGGTCAAGGATTTTAATCAACTGTGTCCGATTCTTGATGTCATATTTGGCCTTAAAAAGTATGAAGCAATAACAGGTTCAGTCCACACCAGCCAGAAATTCTCAAAAGTCTACATCAAAGTATCGTTCTCTCACTCGATACGCGTACTGATCTCCTTGAGCTCGAACTTTTGGGTTGTTCTTAAGACGCTGCTCCACCTGATCGTCCATCGTGAGGTCCTAATATCAGCAGCCATAGAGCCGCGACATCGTCAGCGCCAACATTTTTCCTACTCTTCGACATTTTACCACTTACGACGCCCGTGTGTCTGAATATATCGATTCCTGATACGGCCTTGTGCATAGGGACCTTGCGCAAGTACTCGAGGATTTTATAGACCTTTGCGCCGTCATTCTTGGGTACAGACGATGCGTCCACTGTCCAATGTATACAACCACAAAAGAGTTAAAAAGTCGATTTCCCATCATTCTCACCCTTCTTTTCAAATTGTAAATAGTAAGAAGTAATGGATATTCGACCTTGTGATATCACTGTTTCCTTCACTGACTTGGTGGGCACAACAGTCGGTACTGCGTCCGCTACCTTCTGGGACCCGTATGCCAAGTTGCGCCACATTATCAATTGGCAAATGAATGAATTTCAGTATTGCTGCGTTCCGGATAAAAGAGCAGTGATAAATCAATCGTATTCGGTCTGTATACTTCCAAAGAGTCAAATCATCATAAGAATATACGATGTATACATAAAAACGTGTCTATGAAATCGAATCAAACGGCTGAGCTGACTAATGTTATGTTGCTCCTAGTTTTATGCAATGAAATTCAAGGTCTTGTGTGTAAAATTTATAACTTTACACGTACAATTGAGTTTGCAAAACAGTGTGAATGAAGATCGATCGGTCCAAGATAAACAACGCCACGGGCTGACGGATCTTGTGCTTGAATTCCTGGAAGCTATTGTACATGAATTTCTGTACGTTGAATGAAACGTTTGGTATGAATATTGCTAGTGCATAAACGCGCAATTTTAAGCTCAATTGTCTGCTGGTGATGTAGGTTCACGTCTCGTGTTTACCCAAAAGGTTACGATGAATGCAATAATTATTGCAGCATGACACTCCTCATGCTAATTAGTTTGTGCTATGCTACTTGAATAGAATCATTTGATCAGCGTGTGTTGTATGATGTGCCAATCCACATGAGTCGGCATCCACTGCTGTGCGAGTACATCTACTCGATGTTGGATGGCTGTCGTACGTGGTTGTTGAGAAGAGAACTTGAGAAATTGTGTGTCATTCTCCTCTCAAAAGAAGGACGGACACTGGAAACGCTAGCAGTTGAGCCAGCATGGAATGCAGCATTTATTGAGGCTGCAGGTTCTGAGGAAGACAAGCCACTGCCATTGCTCGAGCTGGAAGAGACCTTTCGTGCAGGAATGGTAGCACTAATGGCGACGACAGTATCGAACACAATTCCTCAGACAGAGATAAATATGCCACACACTTTTCGAATCCTAGCGCAGACAGTGGAGGATGCAACGAACCGAGGAACTGCGATCAATGATGACAATGCGAGCAACTCTTGGGTTTTGGCAGATCCGTTTTGGTACGACGAGCAGAAGAAAGACAAAGTGATTGTCCCAGTCAAAAGAATACAGTCAGAGGCTACACCTGTTCAACTTCATGTGTACATGGAGAAAACTCAGCCAATTGTGATGGCGAAAGCTGGCGAGTAAGAGGAAGGTGGGCTACAATGTAACGTTACTTGTGGCGTGTCATCTTTCTTGGACAACTCAGTCAATTCCGACACATCAGCATGTGAGCACGTAGAACATTTCACTTAGACGAACGTTTTCATGAACTGGTCCTTACGTATTGGGTGCCAGTGTCATTCGACTCAGGATGTAAGAGCACAAGTGAAAAGATAGAGGACGATGCTTTAGGCTGCTGAGCCAGGGCTTTTTAACGAGTCATACCGTGGGTTTGTAGTAAATTGATAAGTTCGTACAACTTATTAATTACGAGAAGCAGCAACGTAAGAAAGATATGACAAAGCTGCAACTCAACTAATTATGACAAATATTACGAAAACGTTATTTTGATATTTTGTGTTCCACGCTGTCATTTGTTTTTAGTATACAAACATACAGACAAGCATGGCACGACTTGGACTATCCGACAGTATGCGCTCCAATGCGTCGCTAAAGGACACGAAACCTCTGCAAGAAGCAAAGAAATTTCAAGATTCACGTCAGGCACACACAGAAATAAGTGCTGAAACGTGTAAAAAGCACGAGGTGAAGCCAAAGTGCACGTCATTTGTGGTCTCTAACCCGTTGCCGATTGTTGTAGGCAGCATAGTGGCCATTATGTTGCTTTACAAAGGTGCTAAAGAGCCTGCTACGCCCTTACGTGCCACGAAGAGGAGCATGATGCAGGTTGAAGAGCAATTGGAACAGCTGGAGAGGAGAATCTCTCTTTTATATAGAGATACGACAAGACTCAAGACGACAGCCGATCACTTCCTCCAGCAGTGCCAGGAGACACACCTAGCGGTCTCTACAAGAAATAAAATACTGCAAAATACAGCTATGAGAAGCTTTGGTGAGCAGATGAAGACGCAGATGAAGGAGCATGTGCAGGTCACGAGAGAGGTGCTGCAGTACTACGCGGCGCAGAAGCAAATGATCAAAGAAACGAGCGAGCGGCTGACGAGATTGAATATCTCATTTCCAATGGAGATTGCAGTAAATCTGGCATATAACGTCAGTCAAGATAAGCAGCAGATGATACAGGGCAAAGAAGAAGGGCTGGAGAGAGATGATACTCTAGCACGTGGACTGTCGGACGCCATGAAAGGGCTTTTGCTTTTTGCAGAGAAAGCTCAGCACAATGAAAGCGACTACGAACGATCAAGTATAGAGAGCATAACGATTGAGACGGGTATACACTTGGAGAGAAACAGCCGACAAACGACCATGGGGCAGTCGACTTTGCATGGATTGATATTCTTTTACATCTTTGTGGTCTGTGCGTCTATAATTTATCTGTGGAATGTCAATTTGAATACAAGGAAGAAGAAGCTGCTGAAAAACAAATGGTTGCGGTCTCGTGTTCCGAAGGTTGTAAGTCAATTGAAGAGGTTGCTGGGATCTGTTGTGGTAAGTTCGTGTGAAGGTCTTGCTGAAGTTTTCTTATTGCTCTTAACTTTCTTTGCTATGTTGGATATTGTCAGGTCATCGAAGACCTACGAGCGCAAAGTGACGAGGACGTCTCCCATAAATTGCTGGAGCGCATTGAGCCCATCGAGTGTTGAGTTTGGGAGAGTATTTAGATACTGCGAAGTGCAAAAGGACGGAGGAAGCAGAAATCAGTGATCTTGTTTATCGCCATTTCATCAGCAAATGAATCCAAGCGCAGCTTTTTAGTTCTGCTTTAGCAGTGTATGTATTACACAGCTCGGATGACTTGGCTCTGACGTGAATTGAATCGGGCACTAGATTGGTAATGTGTCTTTGTCCATAGATTGCCAATCAAGTAACACTCACTCTGGCATGCATACTAACGAACCCGTTTTACAGTGGCAACTGCAACCTTTTCGCGTTTGAATCAATGATGTTCAAATGGATTTCCTGCTAGCAGTGATGCTTTAACTAATTTGCCAGTCATTTAACACGAAGGTATCACGCAAGAATAGTGCATCTGCCATCATCCATTGATAAGCAATTGGACACCAATTGTACGTGAACCTAATGACTGCTCTACTGTTGCAGTGTTGTCTTGTACATGTAATTTTGAAAGACGACAGGGATACGTTGTGGCTATAGCAAGTCGCGCAGAGGTTAATCATTGGAGTTTAGCCGCATGTCATGAAGATATCTGAGCTCTGATCTGAATGTGAATCCGTGTTCATAGTGGGATACTAGATCGGACTTCGGTAAATATATATAAAGGCTCAAGCAGACCAGCACTCAACGTCTCTAACGTATTGTTGACCATTAACCTATGTCCAGACTTCGTCACGCCGGTCAAAATATTTCTTGATTTCAATCATCGTCATATTCTACTCCTGACGTCCCGTCTTCAGCATTTACAAACTTGGCTCCAACCTTCAACACCATTAACCTGACTCCAGTCGACGAAACCCTTGAGCCCTTGAAAAGGATCACACGCACAAGAGGGTAGGGAAACGTTGGTCGGTTGATCGTCTCTAGCGGATATTTGACGGGCCGCAAAGTCAAAGAAGTGTTCCCACTCTTTGATGGCCTGTTTGTCTTGGGACAATTTTGATCGATTTTGCTCGATTAGCTGCCTCATCTTCTTGTGGAACGCAGCATCACTTGCCAGCTTGATTGCTAATCCCACATACTCGTCTAGAGAAGTCGCAATGAGATCGTTGACCCCCATCTGCTGATAGAAACCATAAGTGATTCGCGAGGCCCAAAGCTCGTTCGGAAAAGTCACGACTGGAGCGCCTACAGCAAAAGCTTGCAACGAGGCGCGTGGCCGCGTGAGGTGAAGACTTGCCAGAACCGCATCTGCAGCCTGCAAAAGCATCGATTCCTGCATTGGATCAGCATCAGTGAGGAAATGAAGCCGGTCTATGTTAACACCTGCAGATTCCATCCGCGCTTGCAATTGGCTCTCCCAGACCTTTCGACTTGACGTCGACAGGAGAAACAAATGAGCCTTTTCGTCTTTTTCAAAAATGCTGGCTACAGCGACGTCGAAGTCGGGGTGAATATGGATAATCGACTGGCCACATGCAAACACGCAGAGCAGACGTTAGGACATGACAAGATTGAAAACAACATGTGTGCAAACGAATCCCTGGGCAAACCTCGATGGCAAGGTAGAGGTGGAAGTCTGCGGGTATGTCAAAGACCTCTTCGAGAGCAAGTCGGATCTGGTCGCAACTGGTGCTATTTCTCGGGAAAGCTAACAGCTTGTGATAGATACCCATTCCTCTGTAAAAAAAAAGGAATACAAACATAGACATATGCACAACTTACGGTCAGCTCGGATAAGGACGCCCAGGTGCAAATGACTGGTCTTACTTGAAGCAGTAGACGACCTCGGAGTAATGTGAGTTAACGCTGCTGTGCTCAAATTCGCTCGTGAGGTAATAGTCCATTGTTGGCACGCCAGAGGTGTCAGCATTGCCCCACCAAACAGCTTGGATTGGAGCAAGTCGAGCAAGAGAGACAAAATAGGTTGTCTTGTCCATGCCAAGCTATAAGGCAAAGCAAAACGTAAGCTAGCAGTTCCTAGACACTCTACATGTCCACCATAAACCTACCTCAGGGTAGATAAGCACATCCATGTTCCAAGCACGTATCTCTTCTCGTGCAACCCTAACATCTTTCGGAAGACCAACGATCTGTTGCGCATATACCATCACCTGTTAGCCTACTGACTGGCACCAAAACAGATCAAACTAATACTGCGTACCGTCTCAGTAATCGCCTCAACTTTGTTCACCACTTTCATTGACTTGCTTAGTCCTATCGCAAAAACGATGATCTCGTACCTTTCTCGGTTGAACATGGGTATCAACTCCGACATGTAAAGCCCCACAGCTGAATTGAATATGTAGCGCGAGACGAAGCCAACTCGCAAGCGCCGCGAACCGACCTAGGAAATACAGATATCAGGAAAGTTTGAGCGTGACGACATAGCCAAAACTAAAAACGTCCTTCGTTGTACCTCAGGTGTCTTTATATTCTCGCTCCGTTGAGTGTACGGCAACGGAACTATACCGTAGCTAGACACAAATTCCTCGCGCATAATTTGTCGCTGGTACCACAGTTGCCAGTACAAGCAGCCCATAGCTGCTTTTAGCTTACGGTTGTTTCGATTATGAGCTGTCAACGTAATAGCAGTAGAAAGAGACACTCGGTTTGGGTCCACTTCGGTCTCTTCAAGTAAATCAACTGAGAAGCACAATGTCGTAGCGGTATGAGTAAAAGCCTTTTTGTGATTTCAATTTGCGCAGCTTACTGTTTTGTAGCAACACCTTGACGTTTTCATCAAACCGACTACGGTACGAGTCGATTTCTTTTTGCGTTGAAGGAAGAATGCGAGGTAGGACTGTCGCCTTCATGACCATGATTCGCGTGCGAGGGTAAAAGCGGTCGACGATTTCATTGTCAAGAATCTGTTGTTCAAAAAACAGTCAGGTTTGCGTTGTTGTTTTTATTAGATGGTTGATCATCGCACCTGATCGTAGAAATCAATACTTTGCTGCGTTTCCCCAAGTGCTTCCAATGTCTCCGCAAGATGGAGCTATAAAAAAGAAAACATTAGGCATCTGAATCAAACATTCAATCCACTACCTACGTACTGTGCCAGCAAGCAAGCCAAGATCAAAAGAGTGCTCGTATTCATCGAATGCTTCCTCAAACTGGCCAGCGTTGGCGAGGATATTTCCGCGGTCGTTGTGAAAAGTAGGTTCACCAGGCCAGCGTTCTAGCGCTTCTTCCAAACAATGGTTGGCTTGATGCCAGCCGTCAGTAACGCGTATCAGCTCACATCTCTTGCCCATCGCATTTTTTACCACATTCTCCGCTTTCTCTAGACCCATTAGTCGTTTGAGTACATTCATCGGCGCCATGGCTACTTTACTGTACTCGTCCATGGCCTCCTTCCACTTACCCATTGCTTGCATGACATCACCCAAGTTAACAGAAGCTTCAACCTGCATCGGATTTAGCTCCAACGCTCGACGATAATGCTCAATTGCTTCCTTTTTCCGTCCCAACGACTTGAGACAAAGCCCCAGCGAATTGTGAAAATTCTCGTCACTCTCATTCAACTGCACTGCTCGATACAAATACGGTAGTGCTTGCTGCTTTTTCCCGTCCTGACAAAGCAATGCACCCATTAGATGGTTTGCTTGTCCGTGATCGGGAAAAATGTCCAGTACGTAGCGAAAAATCTGTGACGCATTTCCCCGATCCCATGCATTGTGCAATTTGGAACCAGTCTCCAGTGCGTCGGCGATGCTCACGCGACCTTCTCCACTTGGTAACAAGATTGATCCAACCGAGAAAATTCGTGAAGAGAGAGCGACCGTATTGTCATGAATCTCAAGCTTTGCAGTAATCGAATAGGAGAAACCAGGCTCAAGTCCAGTGATATGGAATGCAGCATGATTCAAGCTTTGATTAAAGCAAGACTCTTCCATTTCAATCTCTTCACTCTCTAGATCCACTTCTATAGGTGCATACTCTGGTTGTATGATGATACAAACACGAGATGGACGTTTACCATTCGGTAATTCTCGATGCACGTGAACTTTTGCGTGAAGTTCCGTTTGATCTAGTATCAAGTCATTTGGAGGTTTTATAATGACCAAATCAGGTCGAATAGAAGATGAGGAGGAGGAGAAAGATATGGTAGGGTCATTATATCCTGGAGAAAGAGCAGTGACCCAAGCTATAGAAAGATAGATCGAGGAGATCCAGTAGAGCCATGAACACCACCATGTCATTATGCTCGCTTTTACCTATCAAAAATGATAATCAGTCTTGATGTTTTATATAAGTATTCAATATTATTTACATCCAATCAAATAATTGAATCCTTGATCCTGGCATTTAGATATAGAAACTCCCTAACTGACTACTCCTTCGTAACCATTCAAAAAAGGACATTTATTTATATACCAGTAGAACCCCAATGACCAGTCAGGAGCATAATCGCTATGAACATCCTTTAGTTAATCGCTATGCTACGAAAGAAATGAGTGAAATCTGGTCACCCGATCGTAAATTCTCGACATGGCGTGAATTATGGTTCGTATTAGCAACCTGTGAGAAAGAATTGGGCTTAGCAATTACGCAAGAACAAGTAGACGCTATGAAAGCAAACCGAACGAATATTGACTATGAATATGCACAAGAGATGGAAAAGAAGTTTCGTCATGATGTGATGGCACATGTACATACATTTGGAAAAGAAGCACCGATAGCAATGCCAATTATTCATTTAGGTGCTACGAGCTGCTATGTTGGTGATAATGCTGATCTCATTCAATTAAAACAAGGACTGCAATTGATTCAACGTAAAATGGTGAAAGCAATGAAAGTAATTGCAGACTTTGCTCTTGAGTATAAGGATATGCCGACGATGGGTTTTACACATTATCAGCCAGCGCAACTTGTGACCGTGGGCAAACGTGCATCGCTCTGGTTGCAAGACTTGTGGCTTGATTTTCAACAACTTGATGATCAGATTGATACTTTACCTTTGCGTGGTGTAAAGGGAACAACAGGTACTCAAGCTAGTTTTCTTGACCTGTTTGAAGGTGACCATGAGAAGGTAAGATATGGTCCTGTCAATACTGTAACTACCTTATTGTGTGTCGACTGACTGCTTCTTGTTTGTTGTTGTTATTGAAAAAATAGGTAAAGAAACTCAACAAGCTCGTAGCTGAGAAAATGGGCTTTAAGAAGGTGATTCCCGTATCGGGTCAGACGTATACGCGCAAGATCGACTACTTTGTGTTGTCGATCCTGTCAGGTATTGCTCAGTCGGCTTACAAAATGGCCGGTGACATTCGTTTGCTGGCCAGCATGAAGGAGATTGAGGAACCGTTTGAGAAAAATCAGATTGGCTCCTCAGCTATGGCTTACAAGCGTAATCCGATGCGCTCCGAGCGTATTTGTAGTCTAGCACGTTACGTCATCTCGTTGACGGACAATGGTGCGCAGACCCACGCTGCGCAATGGTTTGAGCGCACGCTTGATGACTCGGCTAATCGGTACTAGCTGAATCTGTTAGAATCTGTTACTCGATGGCTGAATCATATGTTGCTGACATTTGTTTGTGGTCATCTTGCTCTAGTCGTATGGTCCTACCGGAGGCGTTCCTTGCTACGGACGTCATTCTAAACCTGATCATTAACGTCTCGGACAGCCTGCAGGTGTGGCCTAATGTGATCAAAGCGCATATTAAGGCGGAGCTGCCATTCATGGCTACGGAAAACATTCTGATGGCCTGTGTAAAAGCTGGCGGTGACCGTCAAGAACTGCATGAAGCCATCCGGACGCATTCGATGGAGGCCGGCAAACGTGTCAAGGAAGAAGGAGCTGCCAATGATTTACTAGAGCGCATTGCCGCTGATCCGCTGTTTAAGGCTGTGCATGACCACATGGATGAATTACTGGACCCGTCGCTTTTCATCGGTCGTTGCCCTCAGCAAGTGGAGGAGTTTATCAGTGAAGATATTGCCCCAATCTTTGTGAAATACGCGTCGCTGCTTGAAGTAGAGAATGTGGATAATATCAACGTCTAATGGAAAGCTCTTGCTTGTTTTTTCTATTGCCACTCTCATCATACATATACTGCCTCATCCCCATCGAAACAAGACTTCGATCAAATGTTAAACGAAGGGTTTATGCTCTCATGTAGTGTATTGTATCTTTTCATCCAATCATACAACTACATTACTACGGATTGGCTGAAATTCCGACATTTGGTAAAATAAAAAAGTAGCTCCCTCCCCAGAACCGCTCTTTACATACTCACGCCATGTCAAGCAGTTCGTCCAGTGGCTTCTCAGACGAAGAAGACACGGAAGTGGTAGCGCTGAATGTGATAGCTCCATCCGCATTGGAGCTGGGAAAAGTGATGAAAATAGCTCAGATCTGTTCCTTCTGTACTACGTTTCGTAAGCCGCTTCGTCTTCCGAGCTTCTCACGAACGGTAAGACATCAGTTTGAACCTTTTGACGATTAGTGTGAGGAGAGGCTTTGTATTGAATCCTGGGCGTTAGAAGACATAAGGGGACACTGAGAAATGTCTATAGATACTATGAGACATTATCTACGTCTCTATATCTTCAGTACATGGAATTTCAATGCAGGACAACAAGTTATTGCTCCAGGACTCCCATGCTCATCAAATGTGTCATAACTGGTATTTGTGAATATTAGGAGCTCCAAGAGGCGTTACTGGGTGCTTCGAACAGTGACAGAACACATGTAAGCTAATGGATCCAATGCAGTAGGTAATGGGCTTGTGGTGAAGGTTCTAACAACGTTCTGGGGCTTGTATAGATAAAACTGCTGGCCGAATTGCATTTTAAACTGGCACGTGAGCAACCGACGGCCAAAATGGAAAAAATGTGCGTGGACAGTAGTGTCTGATGCGTGACAAGGCATTAGAGCTCGTGGTTGTACTCACAGATGTGCTTGATGGTCTTTGATGGTGCTAATTGTACACAGGATGCAAGACTGGGAGAAAACTTTGGCACGAAAAATGCAGGAAAACTGGCGCAAAGAGTTTACAGCAAATCCTATGGGTGGAGGCGTAACGTACCGAGACCTGACGGTGATTGAACGGGTAGATAGCGCATTGGTTTTGTATTTTGGTAGTGTTATCAATTTATTGAATGCTGCGCATATGATGATGATGCAGGTGAATATTCTGGACGCATTGTGTCACTGGAAACTGGACACGTGTGCTGAGATTCACAAATACATTGCAACATTGCAGCAAGAAAACAATAACGAGGCTATTGAAAATTTGGTAATTTGGCATGTGGATGATGTTTTGTTCGTTTTTATCTTACGCTAAAATTGTGTGACTGACGATCACAGCGAGCAGGAGAGATTGGAACGGATGATAAGGGTGTATCGTATTGGTATTTTGGTGATGAATGCTGGGTTTACGCAGAAGATAAGCCGCTATGGAAGCTTGAAGAACGGTACAACGATGCTTTGAGACTTCGTTGATGTACTTACGAATGTGCTAATATTGCAAGTGTCGTTATGGCAGAAAACCGTCGTACCTTGTGGAATTTGCAAGTGCCAAACGAATCCGTTTTTCGATTAATTTTGATCCGGACCAAAACTCGTTAGCGCCACCTCTCCGCTTGTCGCACAAATCAGCGGCGCTTGTTGATGAAATTAATCAAGAGAAGAAGGAAGAGGTGCCGCTGGTTGCAGTAAAAGATGAGAAGCAGAAGATGCTTGATGCCAAGTTTGACGACGATGCTCTTTCTTCTGACGCAGTCCAAGTGGAGAATGAACAGCTGGCCGTGAAAATGGTGAAGACTGAGAACAAGGAAACATTGCCGGCATCAGCGGTTATAGCAGTTAATGTTTGTACAGATCGAATCAATACAGCTGGCAAAGATATTGTCACCGAGACATCAACGTACAGGAGGAAGGACATGGGTGTCTCATGCGAATTATGCGAACAGGGAGATGTGAAACACGGAGGAGCTGCTTTTGCTGGATTGCTTTTGTCAAATGGTGTTGCGCATAAGCAATATGATGAAGGCTTTAGCATGGTAGACGGTGCGCCTAATGTTAATCTTGCACAAATCGCCGCAGCCAAGGATCCAACGCCACAGATCAATTTGCCGCAAGTTTCTGTCAAAGCACGAGATCATTGCGAGATTTTACCGGACAATAATGATAAAACAGGCACGAGTGTGAGTGACAAAAATGATATTTCAGAAAGCCCAGGAAAGCGTTTACCTGTGAGGGTCGGTGAAGGCAATTCAGGCAATTTTACCCAACCATGTGTTGTGGCCATTGTGGGAGCCAAAAAGCGTACAATTATCGACGATGATAGCAGCGACAGCAGCAGTACTGACGCAGATACCACAGAAGCAGTGGGTCATAAAAACATAAATCGCGAGGTGACGCCATCTTTGACGTCACGGAAAAAACGGAAGGTTAGCATTGCAGTCACTAACAGTGCAGCAGTATTGGACGCTGGAACGGCCAAGGGTGATATCACGACGTTAAGTAACACGACAGTCGTCGGGACGGCAACTACGAAAGCATCGAAAAGCGATTCTGTGGCATCGCGTATCAAAGAGGGGATTCCGTCTTTGTCCAAAGCTGACCCCATTGGGTCTAATTTGAAAGAAACGAGCTCGCCGCAACTTGAAATTCTTAAGCCAGCAGCTTTAGATACGAAAGAACCGAGCTCGCCGAGCAGAAAAAATGCAGATAACGAAGTGATTTTAAAGAGTAAAAGCATCAAAATGGGTAATGTAATAGAACCGGCAAACCCGTCGGGTGCTACTTCGGTGTCACCAACAGACCCAGCTGCAGCACCCGAGACATTTGACATTACCTGCGAGAGTTGCAAGAAGTGCTACGATATGAGGTATCTAGATCCTCCGCTCGTAGAGCGCCCATCGGATGAGTGGCGGTGTTTTGAGTGTCTTGTAAACGATGCTCGCGGGTGGCCACGCCGGCGAAAGCCCATTGCCAGAGAATCCTGTTCTCTTCGAGGGCATAACCGGATGGAGGAATCGTCATTCAGGAAACGAAGCTTGTCGAAGCCTCAAAGTGGGTCTTCGTTTTTGAAGAAGTCGAAAATCTCCAGCAATAACCGTTCCAGCTCATCTACTAAGAAAAAAAGCAGTCACAGTAGCTCTTCTAAGCGCAAGTCGTCGGATAGCAAGAAATGTTCCAGTAAAAAGTCGTCTTCATCATCTTTGAGAAAACACAAAAAGCGCAAGTCGTCGTCTTCACACCATCGCCACGGTCACAGCCACCGCCGAAGGCGTCGCAGTCATCATTATCACGAGGAGTTTGCAAAGCTTGTAAAATCGTTCCAAGAACGACAGGAGCAGCGGCTTGGCATTGAAGAAGCCCGAATAAAGGGGAATCTCCCGATGGCTTATGATGAATGTCCACAAGGCTGGCGGATAGCTAGTTCAACGCTTGATGAATTGCGAGCACTTATTCAGTCACTATCGGACGGATCACTTGAGCAAGACCGGCTGAAAGGGCGTCTTATCTTGATCGTGAAAGACCAAGAGAAATTTGAGGAGCAACGGCGCAAGCAACAGGAGCGAGCTTGGAATATTCTTCCGCGGCGCCAATCGTCCCGTATTGCAATTGGAAGGATGAAAAATCAATCTGCGCAAGACTCCGATGTACGTGCTTTTAGACTTGTGGCTCTGATTGGTTCAAGATACTGACTGAGTTGTGCCATGTTAGGCGGAAGAAGGATATTCTGGCAATGACGCTGAGAGTCGACGCTTGGGTTTGCGGTTAAAGAGACGGCATTCAGCGTCTGATAGTGTCGATGGCACGCAAAAGCATGACCGGTACGTCCTGTATTGCCACTAATGAATCTAGTTGTGCAGTGGATGCTAATGGTCTTTGTACTTGTTGAATAATCCAGAGCATGGCGGGCTCGTCGACGGCATAATGATTCTGACGATGCTATGCACCTTGACAATGAAGAGAATGAGGTGGATAGCAGTGGTGCCGGAAACTGGATCGACTGGTCTGTATTTAAGGTGCGCGTTTTCACATCGTATCCTACTAGGCTGAATAACTTAATGTTGGGATCTAATTATTATTGTACTGTTTACCGATGCGCCGCTCGTAAATAGGGCAACAATCGTTGCCTTTCAACCGTTTGCCTTGCTCTTGTCGATAGGCTATTGCAGGAAGAAGCTTCGGTTAGTGCTGAATTGAGCGTGTGTGTTTTTTATGGCACTGAGTTTCTTATTTGTTGCTACAAACAGGATCTCTTTTCACGACCTGTAGATCCCGAGATTGATGGTTGTCCAAATTATTTGTCGGTGATTGATCAACCGATGGATCTTGGAACGATTCGATCGCGCGCAGAAGCCAATTTTTACCGAGTACGACAAGTGAACGTTAGATTGGTTTAGTAGAAGATATCTGACATGGACTTGTGGCGTTGCTTGTTTCTAGAAATGGAAATTATTTAAGAAGGACATTGAACTGGTGTGGCAAAATTGCCGTACCTTTAACGCCCCTGACACAATGGTAGTGCAGTTTGCCAACTTGCTCGAAAGGTTGTCACGCTCCATGTGCATTGCAGCAGAGAAAAAAGGTGCAGATCGCTTGAACGGTAAAGGAAGTGTAGGTGACGGGAGTGATGAAAGTGAAAATAGTCTTAGTGACGCGAGCAAAGCTGAATCTCATAGCAGCGTCAACAAACCATGGACCGAGAGCAGTGCTTCAGAAAGTCGTGATTCCAGCGATGACGGAGGATCTGCCCATGATAATAGTGATAGCATTGCGCGTAGTCGCAAGCGAAGTCCAGCGCGCGGACCTGCCAAAAATTTGCAAACTCGCGCACGATCAACGAGGTCAAGTGGCACGCGCAGTCGGACGAGGCGGAGCACACGAAATGGCTCGTCCAAGAAATGCCAAGCTCCTGCTTCAAGCAGTGCCGAGTCCTTTGCTTCGGACGACGATGAAGCATTTTCTTCTGTCCGAAAGAGCCGACGGCAGCTTCGGCCTAAAGCTGATCGTAAAGTGGACCCTCCCACCGATGATGAAGAGTCTGTCGACGATGACATTGATACCAAACAGCCTCTGCCGCCTCACAATGAAGCCTTTTCTCCGCCACCTCCACCGCAAGCGGCACAGAAGCGTCCGAAGCCTCGGCTTGTCATTAGCGATAGTTCAAACACTGATGACAGCTCCGACAGCGACAGCTCGTCTTCGTCGTCATCTTCTGATTCGGTTGACACGGACAGCGATTCAAGCCCTACAAACAAACATCCTCACCCACCTCCGCCATCTTCAGTGGATGCACCACCGCCACCGTTGCCTCCTCCGCCTGCTACTTTGCCTGAGAACGATAAGCCAGTGCACTCATCGCCTAATTACAAAGCTCAGCTGGAAACTGCTGCTGATGAAATGAAGAAGACGAAGACGGATTTTGCAGGGAAGGCTAGTTGCACACATTCCCCCACCTTTGCTGAATTCGTATCTCTCGCCGTCGTCGTCTTCATCTTCCAGCGACTTTTCCTCCGGTGACAGCGACTCCAGTGACGATGGTGATAGCGATAGCACTTGAGCTTTAGGTTCGGTGACGATAGGTAACAAAGGTTTTAGCGACAAACAATACCAGTAGCGTATGTAAATTTTGTCCAGGGCTACAAGATTAAAAAGCTCGTTTGCGTAAGCGTTCGTTCAATTCAACTTAGCACTTCAGTACCATCGAATACTTTCACCAAAAGTAGAGCACATACAACAAGAGCAGGAATACACCAAGATAGCTGAGGTTCACCTTGCTAGCGAGGAAGCGAAAGTTAAATCGAAAGCACACAAATGGACTGGCAGGATCCACGTACAGGTTATCCTCAAATCGCTTGCCATGGTACGGATTCTCAAATCCAAACTGTGCGTTTAGCCACGTTGACACCTTGTAAGATAGCCGCACGAGCCACACCACTTCATATGAACAAATAGGGCTGAGCATGGGATCGCCAACGTATTGCGCCATATCTGTTGAGCACAAGCGCATTCCATGCTGCAGCTGATAGACTCCCTCTTGCGAGAGCAAGTGTGGTAAGTCCTTATTCCGGCTAGGTGCAAATGATTCCAGACCACCACCGGTAGCAGCAGATGACGAACGTGCATGCGCAGTTGAGGCAACGTAGGCATCTGAAATCTCGAATATGAGCCGCAACATGCGGCTTAAGCGCTGTACCTGCGCTGTTACTTTATCAACAGTTTTTGTATTTGATGCGCGGAATATGGCAGGAGAGTGAACAGACATCATCGTTGAGGCAGATGCTGCCGCCGCAGTCCACAATTTGTCAAAAAGACGCTCCGCGTCGCGATGGAAGTTATCGTGCAACGGCACTGGCGTGCACTCAATGCCCAGAGATTTGCAGTAGAACGTTAGCACATGCGCCTGGGTTGCCGTGAGTGTATCACCTGCAATAGGTTTGGTCTTTGATGAAGAGCTGAAGCTTCCACTGCGAGCACGGCGGTTAAAGCTATACGGCATAGCAAATGGCTGGCACTTTTCAAGATGAAGTGATGCCTGGCGCAGAAGCGCCAATAAGTCGGAGTTGTATACACTCATCACGCGTTCAATGATCTGCAAGTTACGCTCGTCGCCTGCAGAAAAGTCCAATTCTTTCGCTCGCTCCACAAACGCGCCTAACAGCGTTGTGTAAAAGTGATAATTTGCCAGCACATAGCTTTCCCACAACGGTGAATATCCTGTCAGCGTCTCCCGCTCTGTTCTCGATTCTGAATCTGCTGTCACTGGTTCCTTTGATTTGATCCACGACAGACAGTGCCACGGTTGAATATACGCGAGCCAAACATCCGTGATGGCGAGGAAGGCTGTGGGTGAGAGTCCAATAGGAGCACGGGAAAAGACAAGGCGAAAGAAAGCGTACAGCGGTGGCCGCAGCATAGTAACACTACGGCTCAAGTAAACGCCTCCACTGCCTACAACCATGCCTGAAGTGCCGCCTTGAGATCTGCCCGTTGATTCCTCCGCTAAAGGAGCAGGGAAGAACGAGTCGGATAGTAAATAAACGATAGTGAGCAGCAGTGAGCTAAGCAAGTCATCCGATGGTGCCATATAACTTGTCGACGTGTACACTGAAGCAAATGGGCTAACTAGCTGGTTACTTGGAGGTAACGAGCAAAACACACCAGGAGACACAGTCGACGCTCCCGCAGGCTCATCCGAGAATGAAATGAGATTCTGTCGCAGCCAAAACTCGATCAAGATGTGAAGAAAAAGGTTGGAGGCCTTCAACAACTTGCCATGGAAGCGGCTCTTAACACCACGGTTGCTGTCAGGCAAAAAGCCCGTAGATACTGCAGCAGCAGTACGTTATATGGATTGCCTCTCGTCAATGCAGAAACTCCTTCCTTGCAATACATACGCCAGCTGGACTGACGGATTTTGGCCGCAGCAGACAATGAAGATACCGCTGACGTGGTTGGACCAGTCCTAGACGTCGACACAGATGCAGCCGAAGTCGTGGCATCCGCACTTGGATGTGACGACGACGATGGATGTCTCAAAAAGTAGAACAAATAGAGCTCTGTAATCGACACGAGCAGCTCCGGACTGCGCAGATCCAGCCGCTGCTTGGCCAGTGGTTTGTGCAGTAGCTGCGTAAACAATAAACTTGCTCCTCGGCCGCTAACAATTGCCATCTTGCTCTGTTCTGGTAGCATATCGAGAGCAAATTTAAACTCGACAGGATGTGGCACCTTGAAAAGAAACTGGAAGACCGATCCGTCCTCGGCGCGCACGCTACCACCCAATAATTTGACAATGGCTCGACCACTAGTTGTCAAAGACGTGAGAAGATCATTCACATCGTCTTCGTCCGTTGCAACACCTGCTAAAGATCGCTCATGTCGTTGTTCATCTCGTTTCTTGGCTGCTTGAGCTGCGGCTGAGCCTAGTGCAGGCGCTACGCCCAGTCCGGCGCTATAATCCAGCCAGCCGCCATACTTTTGCTTGGAGACGGCGTCAATACCAAACACACGGTCTAAAATTTGATTAAATCGTTCGTAAAAGACGCTACGCAGTTGGGCCGATTGCCGCTTAGCTGTGGAGCCCGTGGAGAGGCTCGTTTGGGTCTCGGACGCCAAGTATCGACGTAGAGCTTCGACTACGGCCGGCACATCGTACGAGTTCAATCCACGCTCAAATTCTGCGTCAGATTCACTAAAAGTCAAGGCCGAAGACGTCGGACGTGGACTGAAAGACGACGAGTCTCCATTGGATGCGGTGACATGCATTCCCGGCATTATTATAAAGAGACGAAGATTTAGTTTGGGTTTTATAGCTGGCATTGTTGTGAAAGAGTGACTTTAGATTTGGGTTTTCTGTACTTGGACATTTGATTGACATGTACGCACGTACGTATGTATGTACGTACGTATGTATGTATGTACGTACGTACCTTACTGAAGAAGGACACCTTTGCTTTTGAAGTATAAGATGCCGAAAATGGTCGAGATAAGAGAAAGTAAGATAGTGACGATAACAACACCGAGAAACCATCCATTGGCAGTCTCAAGTCCAGAATGAAGGTTCATACCAAACACGCCACCGATGAACGTGCCCATCGAGAGACTGATCACGACGACGGAAAAAATGAGGTCGACGCCCAATAAGTAATTTCGCATCGAATCAAGCTGCATCGTCACCAGACTTTCAGCATTGGAGATACGGTGCTGCAAAAGCTCAGCCTTGGTGCGTGTGGAGAAAATGTCTTGTAAATAATTCTCGATCAGCACTTCGATCTCTTCGGCATCGATACTCCAAAGATCTGAAAGTAGGTTGGGCTCGTTGTACAACTTGGTCAGAAACAGAAGACGAAGGTTCTCTTCATTGTCCAATAACATCATAAGCACCCGACGCACGCCGTCAACTTGGGCCTCAAATTCGTTGATTGTATTTTTGAATTCGCGCAGCTTCTCGAGCTTTTGAACATTCAAACCTCCTTGCATAAGACCATACAGCGTTCCGACAACGACAGGAGATAATTCCTCATATTGTAGCTGAAAGTAACGCGATAGTGTTGACAGCAACGCTTCCAAAGCTCTGTGACAGCAAAAGGATGTCAATAAACAGCTCATTTATCGGCATCAGACTGTAGCCTACCTGAACTCAAATGGAGCATTGTCTTCACGCATCGTTTCGGCAAACTTTGCTTTCAAGACCAACAATAGGGCGTCGGCTTCGTCAGGAACGTATATCAGGCACACGTTCCGTAGTACAATAGCGCGCAATGGGTCTACAGTTCAGTTGACAGGCATGTCAGTAAATGTGTGAGCACCGTTTGATCAGCATACATGCTATTGTTTGTCTTACCAGCACTGATCAAGATTGCTTGCTTTCGAACAATAATGCGAGGTTCATTCGTTACTGAGAACGCGTTCTCCATCTTGCGAATGTCACGAGCGTGAACTTGCTGTTGTTCGCAAACTAATGTCAAGATTCAAGAAATGACGACAAACTCAAGCATCACACGTACCTGAACACTGACAGGAGCATAAAGATCCTGTTGACTTGTAGCGCGATGTTGTTGGCCCAATCTCCAAGTAGTTGAACTGCTACGCCTGTACAATGGTGGATGCAGCTTTTCCTTTACGGGTGACGACATGTCGTGAGATACGGCTTCTTCCTTCAATTCTGCAGCTTCTTGAGTCATTTGAAGCACTTCATGGCGACTCATTTCCTTGAGTGTCGATCTTCCTTTTCGATCGAAAATCATCACAAGTACGCGGCCGCTTTTAGTTCCAGAGTCAAAATGACATTCAAATTGTTTTGCTGAATTGAGGCTTAAGTCACTGAGCAGCACCGTCTCCGATGGTCTCATCCCGATCCTGCGCTGGTACGTTCCATATGCAGTTTCAGGGCTGATGTGGTCGTTGGACTTAGACTGCTGTCCTACTGCTTCACTCAGTAAGGGCAAAAGAGATGCATTATCTTCTCGCTCACGAAGCATTGTGTTTTTGGGGTCCGAGCGCTACTGCTACGTTACGATTCTGCGAGTGAAAAGAAGTATCTATTCGCTGGTCACGAGCACGTCCTTTGAGTCGACGTTTGAAAGCAGGATGTGGCGTTTTTTGCTCAAAGATTTGCTTGGGGTCATAGTAGAGTTACCTCAACTGGACTGTGTGCAAAATACTCGGGCTTGGAGACTACTACGCAGTGACGGGCTTTGAGTTTCCACTTTTACTGCATCTCCATCTACAACAATTGCTTATCAACACCTCGAACTGCTTTTTGAATTTGAAACGGAAAAGCTTTCGTGGGAATTTGTTTCAAGCTTTGCCGCTTCTTGTTTCTCGATTGGCAACACTAGATTTGACGCAATCTCTTCTAGTGTTGAAGTGTCATTGCAGTCAAATAACAGCATGACTAGCCTATACTTCCTAGTCACAGATCAAATAGGCAAAAGAAGCGGCTCGGTGAGTCGAACGTGCCTTCATGGCAAACATTCAGATTGCATCGTTTCCATGGCAGATTTGGGAGATAGACACCTTCTGCTACTCAGTACCGGAGCTTGTAACGTCTTGTGTTTGCGTCGCTGTGATTCAGCAATGCCATGGAGGAAGAAATTAACGTCTCAGCTTGGTGTGAATCGATAGAGACGTCGATGCAGCAAGTTAGCACAATCACAGGCAATATCCTGTTTATCAGATAGAGCTGGAATCGAAGGAACAATGTCCAATCTGCATGACCCGGTACCATATCCATTACCACTATGAGACGTTGTCGAAGCTGTTGGGTAATTCTGCTCTCGGGACTCGACTCGTTTCTCGATCCTTGCATGATAACAGTATATATTTACTAGCAGACTACAGGAATAATATGCCTGGTCGTCACGCAATCTACACGATGGCCTACTCTTCTACGTCCGAATCTGGAAGCGGCCAGCCTTAGTCATCGTTCGCACACCCTTGTAAGGCTTGTACTTTTCGTTTGTGATTAACAACGTTTCAACATTTAGCCCCGAAACAGTAGACATGGGTACCTTGAAGCCGAGAAGCACGACGGGTTTCTCATCCGGCACTGCAGCGCTCTGGTGAAGAATAATGTTCCCACGAAGCGACGGGTTCAGCACCTTCTTGCCTAGCTTGCCCACATTCCACTTGACAGTCTTGGATGTGTCGTCAAACAAGCAGGTGCCAGACTCCGTATTCACATCTACTGTACGCACGCTCTTTGGAAAAGTTACATCCACAGTGACTTCTTCGACCTGCAAATTTTTCTTTGTGTTCGAGTTCAACGTAGGCATGCCTCGCGTGCCAATCACCAAGTCCAGAGTGCCCCCACCCTTTTCATTGTACGTGATCTGCGGCTGACAGTATACTGGTGGTACAAGCTCTTGCACTTGTACGCGGTACTGCATGAGCTCAAACTGTCCATCAGGTGGCACAAACGAAATCACTCGTTCTCGCTCATACCTCGAGTACCGCACACACGGATGGAACGAGCAGTCGTCGATCACAGATGGATCTGTGAACACCATGGTAAGATCTGGGACACCCGAAAGCCGACTGTTGCTTTGAATAGCGCCGTTTACCTCGCACGAAATCATGCGGCCAGACACATCGACAATGGCGTCAATCTCTTCCACAATATCAAAGTAAATTTCGTTTTGTGTGTAGCGCACGCCGCTTTTCCGCCATGGAATGTTGGAGATCGCACCGTCCGGCAGCGTATTGCTTACACGAGACTTTCCCGACACCATTGAAGCTATGCGGTTGACAGTTGAGGGTGGAGCCACCATTGCTTTAAGTGCGTTCGGCTCCGTGGTCAGTGGATAGCCATTATCTAGCATTTCCTCTAGCAGTTGGTAGACCGTGGAGAAGTTATCCTTCATTGAGTTCTCGTCAAAGTTGCCAAAATAATCGCGAAATACTGCAAGAACTCGATGCAAAAACTCGATTACAAGAAGGGGAGAGATCTACTCACACAAAACCACAGCTTGTTAGATCAGAAAGCTAAATATCTTTGCCCCCCCTTTCTCTCTCTATGCGGACCTCATTGGTTACAACTGCAAGCACAAACAGTTCATCACGAAATACACTGATGAGGTAATATTTACTCGTGGCAATAATTGGCGGCACGTCCTCTCGCTCGCGGTACTTGTTAACCTCTTCCATGAAAAAGTCGCACACGTTACGACTTGTAAGGCCGCGCCAATGTTTTTCGATAATAACCTCACTACAACAATCAAACAGTAGAGACGATAAGATAACGTAAATGCGAATATGGATATAAGTACGAGTACACGCACCCGGTCGTGGTCATGATGAACATGGACTGGATCATAGCGCCGTTGACTTGATCGAATCTTGGAAATCAAATTTGGTACATTTTGGACCACACAAAAGGAACAGATTAGAGTATCACAAATAATTATTTGTACGACGAAATGACGCTGAAGTTTAACAAAAGACAACGTAAATGTATCAGATTAGTAGAAAAACAGATTGTGCATAAAACTTCAATTGTAATCCATCGCCCTTGAGACATTCAAAAAGCTATACAAAATGCTACTCTACAGTCTGTTAGCTCCTTGACTGCACATTTCTCTTCAGAGTCTTTCGTGGTCATTCTTCATACTCATTGTCGCCACGACCCTTAACTTGTTTCAGCTTTTCCTTATCTACCTTGTATACGTCACCTCCATTGTATCCGGCAAATACCTTGGCTGTAATCTCCACTTGAGCATCCTTCGGGATTAGCTCTTCTGGAATGGGAATGCGTTCGACGATCTCAATGCCCTAATATCCGAGCATTACGTTAGTATGTGTACACATAATCCAATCCACACAAGAAACAAGGGCTTACCGAGTTCACAATAGCATCGTACTTCATGTCGCTCATCGACACAAACTTGTCAATCTTGGTGATGCCAAGCCAGTGCAAAGCATCAGGCATTAACGCCTGGAAACGCACATCCTGGATGCCAGCCACGGTCTGAGTGCAGTTAAAATACTCTTCTGCGCTGTCGCCACCTTCTTGACGCTTGCGGAGGTTGTAGACCAAGTATTTAGTCACTTCACCCAAAGCACGGCCTTCTTTACGAAAGTATATGATGACTCCAGCTCTGTTACCATTCAAAAAAAAACCACGCACGTCAATCATCATTTCATCAGCATATGTAATCCAGTGCACTTTCGTACCCTCCTGCCTGAGCCGTTTGCACGCAAACTTCAATCCCGTGGGCGAGATAAGGTCGGCATGTGCATATGTCCGAGCCAAACACATCCGAGCCATTGCATTCGTCGTGGACACGTACTGCCAGCTTCTTCGTTGGGTCTGAAATGGCCTCAACGGAGCCAAATATGTAGATTGTCATGCTGGAACAGAAGCGATAATAGTCCGTTAGTTTCTACGACAAGAACAAGCATTTGTAGCAAATATACCAGACTCACCCTCCGATTGGCGGTAGAAATACCTTCAAATCATTTCTTGTTACCAGTTCAGGGTACATGCCGTTGGTCTCCTGAAAGATCTGCTGACGCAAATTGGCCTCAGTCGTGTTGAAGCGCTTAGCCACTCCAGGAAGGTACCACACCGGATCGATCGCAGCCTTAGTGATGACAAGCTGTGACGAGCTCTTCAAAATCTTACCATCCGGCTTAAGTCGGCCAAGTCGAACTGCCTCGTGTATTTCCGGGAAGTCCATATGTGCCTTTGTAACAGCAATAGTAGGACGAATATCATATCCCTTCTGATAGTACTCCGGAAATGCCTCCAGAACACAAGCTCCAAAGGGATCAATAGTGACCATCTTCTCGGGGTCAAACCACGAAGGGTGGGGGCCGATCTTGGCGGCAGGCGTAGTCTCACTGAGATCAGGCACCGAGTTCTTAGAGATAGCACCTGACGCTACTGCCAGTCCGCGATATATGCAGTATGAACCACCGTGTGCGCCTATTGCATTGCGGTATTTGTGATGTCTATTGGTGCCAATAATTGGGCCACGCAAGTCAGGCTCTCTCTGCCCCCACTACAAACATATAACACACAATATTAACTCGTCTCGTCATTTCGATTCAACTATACGACCCTACCCGAATACGAATGGGTTCAACACCAAACTGCTCAGCGTGCGACGTGAGCGAGACGTAGAACTTGTTAGGATCAAACTCATCTTTCTTGTCAATCTGCTTTACGTCATCCGCTATCAGGAGGTAATCACATACTGCAGATTAGATGTGAACAAAAGACGTAAACAGATCAGTCAAAGTCACGCACCATCAATGGATTTCTTGCGCTTGCCAAGTGTTGCTACTTTTTTCATGGGAGCAGTTTTAAGACCATTTGTGGCAGTTGTGCTCATGATTTCTTCTTCAATCCGTCCTGAAAAAAGGGGCAAAAACGTCTTCGTCTATGACAAAATAAAGGAACACGATAAGTCACTTCTGCACTTGAATGGAAAATGCGCAATGAAACGAAACTGGCGCTTGGCGAGTTTGATGGCTCTTGAAGTTGCCTCAGAAATGCTTATTGTCCTTTTTTTGATCCGATGAGCAAATGCAAGAGCGACGATTGGCTAAAATAAAGTATCACCTAAACGCCAGGGGTAAGATGCAATTCTGCCAGCTGAAGATACTACGTTGCTAATGCTTTCTATGTATTAGTGTTATTTAAGTCAAGTTTGTATACGATGACGACTTTACATCTACATGCTGTGTCTCTTTATAAGCATACACATATAGAATAATATATACCTAACAATTAGCAACTTTGAACAATGAACACAATGATCTGAGTTAATAACGTTTCAACCAACTGGTATCGTCAGATGAGAACGAAGAAACTTCTTGGAACTACTGAATGGCTGTTTTTATATACCGGTAAGAACCAGTACAGACCGATATACTCTTGTATTAACCGGTACAGGTTTGAACTTTTGAATCAGACGCTCCTCATTGGCTATTATATGTCACTTTATTCATCATAGTGAATACAAGTACAATGTATCTATTCAGATGCAGTGGTGCTTTTTCCCCCAAATATTCTAACGGACATCGGAGCAGTTGGCGCCGCCTCAAGTGCATTCCTCCTGCTTTACATACTTACTTGCTTCCATCCTGTCTATAGCACGTGTTGTATCTGTTGTTTGACATTATCGACAAACTATTTCATACATTATCAGCTATGTCGTTTACTAGAAAAAGCGTCCGTATTAATAATGAGAATGAAATGCCTATAGATCTATATGCCTCTCGTCCTGGAAAGGTATGAGCAGATCTACCGTCACGAATAGATGCTATTGGTTCATAATATTGGTAGATATGTATGTGATTATGTGCTATGGTTTATTGTACGATGCAGCGTCCGATTGGGAGAGATGTACATGACGGTGAAAATGCCGAAAAACGTCCGAGGCACGCGAAGTCACAAACTCATACGACGAGTGTTGGAATCCCTCGACGAGCTGCTTTAGGCGATGTGACCAATCGACGCTCTGCTTTAGGTGATGTGACTAACAGGACTAATGTACGTTGAAAGATACAACAAAATGAAAGATAAAATGACGGATCCAGTGAAGTAAAGTAATATTGTTTTTTTGACTGATTCTGCAGATTAAGAAGGCTACAGTGAGCACCATGAGCTCGTCCATTGTCAACGCTGGAGTGCTGGCTAAGAAGAAGGTTATTGCAAGCAAACGCAACCTTAGTAATGTCGACGCTAGCAGTCGCAACCTAAACCTTAACAACGCGAACGCTAGCAAAAGGAACTTTAACAACGTGACTCTTGGCAGCCGTCATACTAGCTCTGTGTCTAGTAGCACTGCAATGCTAAGCAGCCGCGGCTCGTCGTCGATCAGTGGTCGGATGAGTCGTCCGCTTCCATCCACTACACCTTCCGTCAACACCGCTGGATCCATGAGGCTAATGGACAAAATCTCACCAATGCTAGATGTTATGGCGCCAATACCGGAAGACGATAAGTACGACATTGACGGGGAAGACAAGAATGATCCGACTACGTGCTGGCAATACGCCGAGGACATCACGAAATATCACCTGGAAGTGGAGGTAAGTTGCTGTATGCTGTGAAAGAAAGAGGTTTGTGACTACTGACGTTAGTGCGTGAAATGTATTACTTTGCAGAAGAAAAGCCAACCCAGCAGCTCTTATATGACCCGTCAATCAGATATTAACCCGAAGATGCGCTCTATTCTCGTAGATTGGCTAGTCGATGTACATTACAAATATGGATTGCTACCGCAGACGTTACACATTGCTATACTTCTTATCGATCACTACTTGGAGAAGGACTTGACGATCAAGCGTCAGCGCCTTCAACTTGTTGGCATTTCGGCGATGTTTATTGCCGCAAAGTACGAGGAGATCTATCCTCCAGAAGCTACAGACTTTGTTAAGATCACAGACAACGCATATACGCGTGATGAAGTTTTTCAGATGGAATCGAATATGCTGGCAACAGTCGGCTACCGAGTGACATTCCCGACTGCTTACCAGTTCATGAAGCGGTTTCTCAAGGCATCCCGTACGTGTGATGATCGCGTGGAGCATTTTGCCCATTATGCAATTGATCGCAGCCTACAGGAGTACAAGTTGACAAAGTACTTACCTTCGACGATTGCAGCGTCGGCAGTTCGCATTGCTCGGACACAGATGCGGGATTTTCCAGCCTGGGTAAGTGGCAAAGCCTGTATTTTGGCTTATGTATTCCTTTAGCTAACATCCTGCATTTTGATGATAATGTTAGTCGTCGACTTTGGAATACCACTCATCGTACAGTGAGCGCAGCTTGGATCTATGTGTTGAAGATATGACAGAAATGCTGTGGAACACATATAAGGGAGTGGGCAGGATGGCCAAGCTCACTGCTGCGCGACGCAAGTTCAGCAAAGAACGCTTTATGAGAGTGGCTGCTGAACCGCTTGAATTAGGCAAAAGCGCTTAAAACATTCTTGGAGCAGCATTTGCGCATTGACCTTGAGTCAGTGCGATCCGTCCTGAGAAGACGCTGTGAAGACACGTTATAAACTTGATGGTAAACAGCGCCATGGCCTCACCAGCTGCTTTGAGGCATAAAGCAATCGTCGAAGACGCGCGAAACACTGAGTCGTATCCATATATACTTTATTCTGTTCATACGGTTGAGCTTGAAATTTGAAACACCCTCGACACTAAAATCGTACAGCTACGTAGACACTAATTGTTAACGACTTAATGCAAGAACACAGCCCATGAAATCGGAGAATAGTACATGTGCAATATAGTCTATATGACATCAAAATTACAGTTCTGCGTCTCTCAGCTTAATCAACGTCGTCATCGTCGCTGCTCACGTCTAGAGCCACAATCTCGTTGGCGAGCTGGTCAGCAATACCATCCGGGACTTCTTCGTCCTCTCCAGTCGTTGGAAGGGTTGACGACGCCGTAACAACTGTCCTTTCGAATGCTTTTTGTTTCTTCTTAATCTTGGTTTGTACGTCGGGCTCCTTTGACTCAGTCACCTTGACCGGCCCAGCAGGAACTGACGACAACACCACTTTGTCGTCACCCGCCGTTTTAGTGTCTTGATCAGCAGCAAATGATATTGTGCGGACCTCATTCCAGTCAGGCTCTTCACCTTCCTCGTCACGAATTAGAAAGTCCACAAGTTTGTAGATCTGGTCGCCAATTTCTTCGTCGGACTCCTCCAAGTGAGCATTGCGGATGATCGGATATGCTTTCTTGCGACGCAAATCTTTACGTCCATTGCGCGTCGTGCACAGCAGTAATAGGCAGTCCACAGCAGCAAGACGAACCAGTCGGTCGTGCTCTCGCTTTTTCTTGTTACCTTGGCTGTACACGACCGGGTTCATGCCCATCTTGTCATCCTCGTCAAGCTCCTCCGGACCAGCAAGCAAGAGCATCATATGAACAGGAATATCCAATTGGTCGTACAGATAAAAGTGGTTGTCTGAGTCAAAGCATAAGTTCTTGAGCGCAGCTACAATACCTCGCCGACGCACGACATTAGGTGACTTGAGTTGCGGAAGAAGCGCACCAGCTAATGACGTGTTCTGGCGTATCTTTAACAAAAAATCACGGCCTTGTTCCAACTGGCTAATGTTGGCCAAAATGTTGGCCACATACTGATACTCATCGTCCCATTTGGGTTCACCTGTAAAGCTATCAACTCCATCAGGCTCTGGTTTTCCTTCCAGAAACGAGTTCGTGAGCGTGCGGATTTTTTTCTCACGCAAAGCAATAGCATCATCGGTTGACTTGTCATCGTATCCTAGCAGTGATTTGGCGCCTTCTACTGTCGTGGTCACATTAGCTAGTAGCATCATGGAGTAGTCGGTCAGATGCCACTCGTCGTCCTCTACTTGAGCCATAACGCGATTCAGTATATCAAACTTGAGCGCACGCTCACAAGACGTCGGATTAGCTGCTGTCAAGTTAATAAGCGCCTTAATTGCGTCCTCTGCAATGGGTCGCATATCGCTCACGATGCGACAAAGCGCTTGCACCACATCAAACTTCTTGAGCTGTAGTAGCTGAAATATGCCCTGATCTGATGCTGTCATATTGATCAGAAGACTCGATGCTGACTTACGCAGCTCTGGACGTGGATGTGACAGGAAAGAAACCAACTCTTCCATAGACTTGATCTGTTCCAGTGTCGATTGCTCCGTCATTGTATCAATTGATTTGAATAATGGCCACCAATTTGACATGCGTGTCAAAGTCTCTGGTCACAACGAATTGTCGCAGCTGGAGTTGAATTGAGTACGTAGCTGACACTTTCGATTGGACAACTGTTGATCAACTGTAACACGACAATCTGTGACGTGCTACGAAAAGCTCCACGCCAATGAAGGTGGCTTTCGAGTGCATTGCGGATGCGGTGCGTCGCACTCGTGGGTGTATGATCTCCAACGCCATTGAAGCTCGCTTTGTTCCCGGTATGGGTGTAGGAATTGTGGCATGTGACCATATTCCAAAGAATACGGTGGTATTCCAGGCTGGTTACGACGCCTGGTATCCATTTTCAGCAGAGTATGCTCTAGAGACGGCACAGCAGAAAGCTCCAGGCTTTTTTCAGCAATGGAATCAGCTACTGGAATCAAACAGGTCGCTTAGGAATGGATCGCTCTTTGTACCCAGTGCACTCGTGCTAGGGGTTCACATGCTGGTGAATTTTCCACATGCGGAAGATCCACATGCGACGCTGAAGGCCATTGCAAATGTTGAGACCCCATCGCTAGACAAGCTATATGTAAATGCACTGCCACGCTCTGTAGATCTGCCATTGCTGTGGAATGACAGGCAATTTGAAGAGCTGCAAGGGTGTATAGAGGCGCGCCGGGCAATGCAGCACGGGTTCGTACCACCACCACTTTGCTGTGGTGAGTAGAGCCACAAGATGCTAATTTTCCCATCGTTATGACAGAAAGCGCTTTTATATGCAAATGTATCACTACTTCTTTGGCAGCAACAATCAGCTCGTGAATCCAAAAGCATTCTTCTGGGCCATCTCGATCCTAATGTCACGCGCAACGTCCGGCCAGAATCAACCGTTGACGCTTGTCCCTTTCTTTGACTGGTTTAATCACGCTGACAACGGGTACGCAGGCAAATCTACACGGCTTGGCTATCGTAGAATAAAGGGTGCTTACCATGGCGAAACGTGTTGCACAGGGACGAGTGCGTGCAGGAATTTGACCCCCAAAAGGGTTTTACAGTACATACCACAAAGTCCTATAAACCGGGCGAACAGCTATTCATTAGTTATGGCAACCATGGGAACCTTCGGCTTCTTCGCAATTACGGGTTCACAATTCCTGCCAACCCGTACGATGTCATCAATCTTCCCATGCCAGGACTGCTGCAACGGCCAGACTTGGCAGACCCTGCTTTCTCTCAGAAGCGAGAGTTATTCTTAGCTGCTGCTGGTAGTCAAGCAGACGTACCAGCTCTCAAAAGCTTAACGATCCAGAACAATGGAAATCTTGACCCAAACGCAAAGCATTGGCTGGAGATAATGCTCGCTACACCGGACGAGTTGAGTGAGATTTTGAGACAAGCAGCAATGCGACCGACAACAGGAGCAGAGTTGACCTCATCGCTTCGGATTCCTTCGTCGTTGACGCGTAAAGTCAATGCTGAAGTTCGAAACCTGGTGACAAGACGAATGAAGGAGCACTGTTCTACATTCGAGGTAAACAAACGCTATGTAGGTGATCTTTGAATCCAATGCTAACCCTCGGTATGCACTGGTATGTGCTACATAGGAAGACGACGCATTTCTTCGTGCCAACGAGCAGCAAATGACGCCGTGGCTACGATCATGCCTCCACCTTCGAATGAGCGAAAAACAAACGCTGATTCGAGCAGCGGCTAAATATTCTCGATAACGTCTCCACGGTGCTATCATAGAACAATTGAGTCAATTTAGCACTGCTGCTCCTCGTCTTCACACAGGTTGTCCGTGCACCCGAAAGCGATACAGGCACGTATAGTCAGGATGACCATGGTTGGAAAGCACCTCCAACGTAATACCATCGATAGCAGAATACTGACTCTACGTACAAAGGACGTTAAGACGTCTAGACAAACTATACTTTCCCAAAAATAACACAACCACAGCAACGCGTACCTGCAGGGGTGTAAGCATAAACGTCTGACTAGCGGGGCCGTTGCTAGCATAGGAAAAGTTGCCAAAAGGAATAAAATCCACAGTTTCTCGCAGAGGATGGCCCGATATGCCCTAGGAAGCAAAACAAATAAATATTAGTATAGTCAGATTAGTAACACAGCCAACACGCGTTATTATCGCACCAGGACACGAAACTTGTTTGGCGCAGAACTGAAGTCAGAAGCAATCTGAGCTGGAATATGATCGATTGTAATAGAATCTGCAATTATTTGCAGAGCAAACTTGACTGAGAGGCGACCGGATGAGCCTGCAAAACCCCAACAACTTCCAATTTCCATCGTTTCCTTTTACGTGCATATTTGTGTCAGCAACTGCTACACGTTAAAACATCCGAAAATCCAGTTTAAGCGCACATACCGACAATGCAGTTTCTGGTCGGCCGTTATGGCGTGAGAGCCACCATGGAATTTCTCCTATCGACAGTAACAACCCCAAATATGGAGCGGGAGCTCGGCGATATGAAGGCGATGTAAATCTGGCGTCGTCGTTGTGATCGTTCAGTCCAATAAGCTGGATGAAAAGCTGTACCGGTGATAACTTATCCTGATACAAGAGGTCACTAGAAACATGAAGACCGCAAGGACGCACAATTAAGTAATGACGGAATTCGGACAGTCTCATAGCAGGCTTCAACGGCACATTATATAACGACGTACCGCTCTGAATAAATAACCGTGGCACCATTAGCCAGGGCTGCATGATCCACGCGTCCTGTCTTCTTGATCTCAACAGCTTGTACTGCCACTTCAATAACGCGGAGAATTCCCGGGTCAGTAGCATCCAAGCTTCGAAGAGCATCAGCACTAGAAGAAAACGTCCGCTGTTCTTCGTGTATCACCCTCAACATGCGGCTTTCCGCAGCCTGCAATTTGCGTCGCATTTCGGACTCTAGCTCGCGCTCAAATAACTCACGCCAATCAGTAAATTCTTTGCGCATCTCCGCATACCCGTTTGCTGCATTTGTCACCGGAGCAATAACAGCCTTCTTCATCATACCTTTCATCGACTACATATCAAGGGTAGTGCCATAAGTAGTTTTTAGCGGCATGTTAAGAGTAGTGACATGAAAGAAATGAACCAGCTTACGTTCATCTTCTTTTCCTGCTCCATTACTATAGAATAGAGCTGAGCGTATTGCGTTGATACCAATCGCAGGTCTTGCTGTATTTGTGAGGTCCTGTCCAAGAAAATCTCTCGCTACATGACAAAAGCGGAATACAGCATCACATACACACAATAGAGTGAGCATTACCATACAATCCACTCATGCACATCACTTCACACCAACCGATCTTTTTGTATGCTCAGCCACAACTTTCTGAACGTGAAGTGTGATAGCGCTGTCGGGTTCGACAAGGCTAAACTTCTTCTGTGCTTCATCATGAGCGTGGCGCATCGAATCGTGTAGCAATTTCAAAGCTTCAATTTCCCTTTCTTGACTCTGTACAGTTTGCTGCAATAATCGAATCTCTTTGGTCATGCCTATTACCTTCAAGTCCACAATTTCCAGCACCATAGATCGCATCGCCTCCATCTCAAGACCTCCACCTGCACTTCCACGCGCACCAATTACCTTTGTCGACAAAATATCCACATAATGAATTGCACTTGTCACATAATGTGGGACTGTAACAGCGACCACAAAGCAGCATAGCGGTGCAAGAAGCCACAACACATTCACGGCCATGAATGAGTTGCGAAGCATAAAACGCCACAGTCTCCGCATGTATTTAAGCACCATCTTCATTGCATTCAACCCTATAACCTTTTGCCACAATCCACGAGTACCATAAGGTCTTTTAAAGCAAGCAGCAGCACCCGCCGCTCGTCTTTTAAGCTCAGAGCGTTGCACTTGATGCTCCTGTATCTCCATGTTCTTATCATCTTGTTCCTGAATATCCTGAGGATCTCCTCTCTCTTCTTCTACCCTATGAGACTTTGTATACATTTTCCGATTATAATCTCGGTCTTCATAGCCGTCCAAGTCTTCAAACTCACTGTCTTCAATATCATCAATGTCGTCCTCTTCAAGATCATCTCCTGACCGCAATATAAGCGTACGTTGAACAGGTTCAGGTGTGTAGATCCCATAATGTTGATCTCTGCTTTCCAGACAATTGCTCAGTTCCTCTCCTTCTTCCTCAGAACACATTGAATCCGATCGTTTACGACTGCGCAGCCGTCGACTATAGACATTTCCTTTCGCCATCGTTTGCAATAAATGGGACTAAAAAGAAGTCACTGGACCAGATAATTGGGTATAATTACAAAATAAAGTGACCTATTTCTTACGTTTTGCTCCCGCGTCAAACTGTTTTTGATTCAAATAAACCCCCCGAATAAAAAAGCTAATGGACTCATCGAGTAGAGGACGACGTCGCAATAGTGCGTCTCCTGACGGCAGCTCAAGCTTTATAACACCTACAAAAGATGAAAATGGATCCTTGGATGCTATGTCTTCTGATACTGAAATTGTTACAGCTCAGTCAAGTGTAGAAGAAACGATAGAGCTACAGCAACAACAACAGACAGGTTCTTTTACGAGTCTCTTGGGCAAACGTGGGGCTGGAACGGAGCTACATGAGGAGGAAAATGGAGATGAAGAGACCGAAGAAGATTCGTCACGTTTTATTTCTATCGCGGATGATCACGAACAGGAACAGGCACTTGTGCAGTGCATTGGCATGGAGCAATGCTTTGACTCGTGGAACGATTTTCATCGCGCTATGGATGATTATTGTGAGGCAACACATCAGCCAATGAGACTTCGAACCTCTGATTCTGCTAGAGCTGTGAATTGTCGGGCTGCGAAGCGAAATAGTTTGAAGGAACCCATTGACGAAAGTGTTGGGTTTGTCAAGAAACTTTACTTATGCACACATGGTGTGAAGACAAAACCTCGTGGTAAAGGAAAACGACCACGACAGCATTATCGATATATGGGATGTCCTGCTATGATTCGAGCTTGTATCTCAGAACGCAAGCCAAATGATCCTGACGGAAATGATAAGAGCAAGTATGTCGTCCGTGTTGTGGCTCAAATTAATCGGCATAATCATCGTCTGAGCGAACACTTGTTTAAGTCATACTCGGAGAGTCGTGTTGTAATTGATGATGAGCTGGTTGTGACACACTCACAGAGTCGGCAGAAAGAAGAGCACGCTGCAGTTACTCCAGTTTCTGCGGCAGTTGCATCCGTAGAACAGCAAATTACTGTTCAACCAGACGTGGGAGACTCTTCCATGAAAATGAATTGTACGATGCTACACGTTAATGTAGCTTTGTTAATCAGCGTACGTCGATGCGCAAATTTCTAATATTCTTGTGCTTTTATAATTGCAGCTTTGTTCCAGACTCAATCACTCGATCTCATGCCTGCTTCGCGCATCAAAAATCGGTACGCTTATAGCGTTTGTGTTTCGTTCTTTACTCGTGAAATTTGCATCCACATTACGTTGTTTCTTGTGCAGCGTGGGCTGGATTGGAACAGGTATAATGGGTGCTAGCATGTGTGGGCATTTGATGGTGCGACTTAGACTGAACAATTCTTGCGAAAAGTAGTTCTCTTATTGATGTTTCTTGTGCTTTGATTATCACTTTTGAAGAACCATGGTTATGATGTCACTGTGTACAATCGAACCCTTTCGAAGTGTAGTGAGCTACGAGAAAAGGGTGCAAGAGTAGCTGGGTCACCTGCCGAAGTAGCCCAAAACTCCGGTTGGTAACATTGTTCCTTTATTATGATTTCGTGTGTGTCTGACTTGACTTCTTCATGTTTGTTACAGATATTGTATTCGTCATGGTGGGGTATCCGAGCGACGTCAAATCGGTAGTGCTTGACCCGGAATCGGGTGCACTTTCTCGAATGAAGGCGGGTGGTATTATCGTGGACATGACCACTAGTGAACCTGCTTTGGCGAAAATGATATACAATGCGGCCAAGCTGAGGGGTGTTTCAACTCTTGATGCACCTGTATCAGGAGGTGATGTTGGTGCTCGTGACGGAACGCTTTCTATAATGGTGGGTGGTGACATGGATTCTGTCTACGTCACGATGCCGTTCCTCAGCGTTATGGGCAAGACCATTCGTTACATGGGACCTGCTGGAGCGGGTCAGCATACAAAAATGATGAACCAGATATTGATTGCTACCAACATGATCGGAGTAGTTGAAAGCCTTCTGTATGCACAGAAGAGTGGTTTAGACTTGAATGAAGCCATTCAAGCCGTCAGCGCAGGCGCAGCTGGTTCGTGGTCCGTCAGTAACATGGGTCCGCGCATTATCAAGCGAGACTTCGATCCAGGTTTCTTCGTGGATCATTTTCTGAAGGACATGGGTATCGCTCTCAAAGAAGCAGAGAAGTGCGTTGTGTTTTTTACTGCAACTGGATGTCGATCAATCATACCAATTGTTTTTTCATTTTGCTGCAGGATGAACTTATCGCTCCCTGGACTTTCGTTAGCACATCAACTGTACGTTGCAGTAAAGGTATGTCTTTTTGAAGAATGTAAGCCTCTGTGATTGTCTTGGTTGCTAAAGACACTTGTGGTGGTGGTCTATTCAGGCGCAAGGACATGGACGCTTAGGTACCCAGGCGTTAATGCTTGCATTGGAACAATTGAATGGTATGAAGCAAGCAATGCAAACTAGGGTATCCTGTGATGACCGACCTGCCTGACTCGATTTGTTGTCTAGGTATTTATTCAGAGAAAGCAAATAACGTGGAAGTCGTGTAACCGTCGCAAGCCGATCGACTTACGCTAATACTTTACTCCGTCCAGCCTCTTTTGACGGTATTTGTTTGCCCTGAGCAAGGATCGTGACGACTTGGTCCTCTTTTTTTCCAGTAAGAAATTGACACTATCAAGAAGTGATTCCATGTCGTACAGACGACTAACCTAACGTCTATCTACTGCACGACACAAGGAGATACGTCGGTGCTGCTATTTGAACATACAAGTGCCCTTTTTCCATTCTTTGAATCTCATCATGTCGTGGAAAATCTTCAAGCGACATAACAGTTTTGTAATAAGCACCTCATCAAGGCAGGATTGAATCGTTTATTAAATCTGTCTCTAATCTGAATTTACATCCAATGAATGATTTGGTTATAGAGATACGCCGAAGGGTTTCTACTGCTCACTTTCTGATTTTTACAAGATTAAGGGGAGTATATCACAATGGCTGGTGGTGTTGTGAAGCCCAGGTGAAGTACAGGATCAAAAGACAATTCATTGATGCAATTAGTTAAGGCCTAATGCCATTGTGGTTTTATCTAGAGTTGGATGGATTGGAACAGGCGTCATGGGTGCTAGCATGGTTGGCCATATCCTGGTAAGATTGAAAGCACTTACGATAAAGACACTCTTTATTCTAAACAAGAGACAAAGGAAATTCTTCTTGCTAATGTTTGGACTGATATGGAGATGATAGAAAAAAGGATATGAGGTCACCGTGTTTAATCGTACACTATCCAAGTGTGAAAGCATCAAGGAACAAGGCGCACAAGTGGCGAGATCCCCCGCAGAAGTGGCCAAGGTTTCTGGTTCGTTTTGGCTCTTACAACCTTGTCTTCTGGTTTCCGGGTGCATATTATCGATGTTGTTAGTTACCATTAGAACGTGCTTGTGTGGTTGTATTCAGATATCGTATTTGGCATTCTGGGCTATCCAAGCGACGTGCGTAAGGTGTTTCTTGACCCTGAGTGGGGCGTATTGTCCTCGATTAGGTCGGGAGGTGTCATCGTTGACATGACCACCAGTGAACCGTCGTTAGCCAAGGAGATTTACGAGGCTGCAAAGCTGAAAGGTGTCTCAAGTCTAGATGCCCCCGTTTCAGGTGGCGATATCGGCGCACGTGAAGGCACACTATCTATCATGGTTGGAGGTGACTCCAACACTGTCGAATCTATGCTGCCGCTTTTTGAAATCATGGGCAAGAACATTCGACACATGGGCGGCGCTGGCGCTGGTCAGCACACCAAGATGGTGAACCAGATCCTGATTGCCACTAACATGATTGGCGTCGTTGAGGGTCTTCTTTATGCGCAAAAGAGTGGCTTAGACGTAGAGGAAGCCATTCGCGCTGTAAGTGCAGGTGCTGCTGGCTCCTGGTCAATCAGCAACCTCGGACCTCGAATCGCAAAGCGTGACTTTGACCCTGGTTTTTTCGTCGAGCATTTTGTAAAGGACATGGGTATTGCACTGAAAGAAGCCAATAGGTATGGTAAACTGGCATTGAGAATGGAGTGTGTATTCAAATGCCGTATTAACGTGCTTTTTCTTGTATTTTTGAGTAGCATGAACCTGTCCCTTCCTGGTCTTGCTCTCGCGAATCAACTGTACACTGCTGTAAAGGCCCAGGGTCATGGCCGTTTGGGAACGCAGTCTCTAATGCTTGCAATGGAACAGCTCAATGGTATTCAATCATCTAGTGCGATCTAGTAAATGAAGAACCGATGAAAAAACAAGCCAACGACCTCATGGACAAAGTGTGCTTACGTACTTGATCATGTTGAAGTTGTAGCTGTGCGTTTTAAACGTGGTTTTAGCTAATTTGCTACAGATTGGCTTTCTCGTATTTTATTTTTCGACACACAAAACGTCGCATATCAAATCGAAAGATTATTTATTCTTTCATATAAACCGCTATACAAAAATACATTATATTTCCAGACACCATGGACCTGCGCGAGGAAGAGCTAAAGCAGCCGCTTGTGAATCCTCAAGAGGAAGGTCCACCATTACAATCTGGAAACGCAGGTGCTAATCTCATGATGAATAATTCGCTTGTGTATGAAGGTGCTGAAGAAGAGAAGGAAGAGGCTCCACGGAATCAGGGGATTCGGTCACAAGTACAGCAACAAAAGATGCCGTATGCAGCGCCAAACGTTCACCCGTACGCTTTACCTCAGTATAATCAGTCTCAGGAATACGGTGAAACTTCCAGAAATGGCTGGGGTCGAGGTCAGGATGAGGAGAATCGAGGGATCACAGTGGACATTGTCTTCAGCGGCATGTACACGCTCGCCGCTGCATTCACTATCATTCAGGGCTTTGGCATGCTCACTTACTTTACATATGCAGCCGGTGAGTCTTTTAATCTTGTGAATCCATTTCTTGAAGTCATGAACTGTTTGTAATTTGCTTATTGTTGCGGATGTATTCTGTGACTCATTATTGCAGTCTCGTTGGGATTATATACCATGGCATTTGGTAAGTTCTCCTATCTTCAGGCAAAGCAAGCAATAATGTGTTGTAGTAACTAATCTATGATGCTTGTATTGTGTAACTTGTAGGTGCGTTGGTTATCATGTATGATCTCAAGTCAGTGGTGAATGGCTTGAGCGTGGAAATGTATTTGCCGTTTCTGGGCAACTATATCGGACGTGCTGCAACCATTTTGTTCTTTGCTGTATTGTGTGCACAAACCTACGAGTACGCGGGCTGGACCAAGTTCATTGTACTGTACAACTTACTGGTTGCTACACTGCAGGGATTTGTGTACTTTACTACAAAGACCGTGACGCTGAACCAGCCTCATATGGATGATCTACCCGACATGTAAAAAAGGTGCTGCAATGCATAACAGTGAGGGAAATGCATGAGCACAAGTCTAGCGTCATGTTGATTATTTTTACTCGCGGCATCTGCCGGTGCAGTGTTTAATCTAAATGCAAGAATTCTATAGGATAAGTTTCTATTTTCGTGCATTACTCACTTAGTAACTACCGGTGGGTCGCGTAAAGGATCAAAATGATAGGCAGATTGACTGTTAGTTAGTTGATCTTGTTAGCGCCTTTTGCCTTAGGAATCAGAAAAAGGTCGTGATTATCAATCTGATATAGTATCAGAACTTGAAGCGGAATGAATGAATGAATATCAAGGAAAAGAAACGTGGCTGTGCACAATGCAGTTTCATGTTTGCATTTTTTTGTCGCAGCAAGAATGATGGTAAGATTCCATAAAATGCGCAGCATATCTTTTGTATGTAGAAACATTTCGAATTTGCTGGGAAGCTTCAGCAACATAAGTCTATTTTAGCAGCCAGACGACCACGTCGCAGACGGAGTTTTCTTTGACTTGATTTGACGGCATCGACGGTTTTGTTTTTCTCATTCTCCATTTTACTTCCTACAAAGCAGATTGAACAAAACACAAGAAATTACAACACGAAACATGCAGATTTTTGTGAAGACATTGACGGGCAAGACCATCACGCTCGACGTGGAGCCGTCGGACTCGATCGACAATGTGAAGCAGAAGATTCAAGACAAGGAAGGCATTCCACCTGACCAGCAGCGTTTGATCTTTGCTGGCAAGCAGTTGGAAGACGGTCGAACGTTGAGTGACTACAACATCCAGAAGGAGTCGACGTTGCACCTCGTGCTGCGCCTGCGTGGTGGTATGCAGATTTTTGTGAAGACATTGACGGGCAAGACCATCACGCTCGACGTGGAGCCGTCGGACTCGATCGACAATGTGAAGCAGAAGATTCAAGACAAGGAAGGCATTCCACCTGACCAGCAGCGTTTGATCTTTGCTGGCAAGCAGTTGGAAGACGGTCGAACGTTGAGTGACTACAACATCCAGAAGGAGTCGACGTTGCACCTCGTGCTGCGCCTGCGTGGTGGTATGCAGATTTTTGTGAAGACATTGACGGGCAAGACCATTACGCTCGACGTGGAGCCGTCGGACTCGATCGACAATGTGAAGCAGAAGATTCAAGACAAGGAAGGCATTCCACCTGACCAGCAGCGTTTGATCTTTGCTGGCAAGCAGTTGGAAGACGGTCGAACGTTGAGTGACTACAACATCCAGAAGGAGTCGACGTTGCACCTCGTGCTGCGCCTGCGTGGTGGTATGCAGATTTTTGTGAAGACATTGACGGGCAAGACCATTACGCTCGACGTGGAGCCGTCGGACTCGATCGACAATGTGAAGCAGAAGATTCAAGACAAGGAAGGCATTCCACCTGACCAGCAGCGTTTGATCTTTGCTGGCAAGCAGTTGGAAGACGGTCGAACGTTGAGTGACTACAACATCCAGAAGGAGTCGACGTTGCACCTCGTGCTGCGCCTGCGTGGTGGTATGCAGATTTTTGTGAAGACATTGACGGGCAAGACCATTACGCTCGACGTGGAGCCGTCGGACTCGATCGACAATGTGAAGCAGAAGATTCAGGACAAGGAAGGCATTCCACCTGACCAGCAGCGTTTGATCTTTGCTGGCAAGCAGTTGGAAGACGGTCGAACGTTGAGTGACTACAACATCCAGAAGGAGTCGACGTTGCACCTCGTGCTGCGCCTGCGTGGTGGTATGCAGATTTTTGTGAAGACATTGACGGGCAAGACCATTACGCTCGACGTGGAGCCGTCGGACTCGATCGACAATGTGAAGCAGAAGATTCAGGACAAGGAAGGCATTCCACCTGACCAGCAGCGTTTGATCTTTGCTGGCAAGCAGTTGGAAGACGGTCGAACGTTGAGTGACTACAACATCCAGAAGGAGTCGACGTTGCACCTCGTGCTGCGCCTGCGTGGTGGTATGCAGATTTTTGTGAAGACATTGACGGGCAAGACCATTACGCTCGACGTGGAGCCGTCGGACTCGATCGACAATGTGAAGCAGAAGATTCAAGACAAGGAAGGCATTCCACCTGACCAGCAGCGTTTGATCTTTGCTGGCAAGCAGTTGGAAGACGGTCGAACGTTGAGTGACTACAACATCCAGAAGGAGTCGACGTTGCACCTCGTGCTGCGCCTGCGTGGTGGTATGCAGATTTTTGTGAAGACATTGACGGGCAAGACCATTACGCTCGACGTGGAGCCGTCGGACTCGATCGACAATGTGAAGCAGAAGATTCAAGACAAGGAAGGCATTCCACCTGACCAGCAGCGTTTGATCTTTGCTGGCAAGCAGTTGGAAGACGGTCGAACGTTGAGTGACTACAACATCCAGAAGGAGTCGACGTTGCACCTCGTGCTGCGCCTGCGTGGTGGTATGCAGATTTTTGTGAAGACATTGACGGGCAAGACCATTACGCTCGACGTGGAGCCGTCGGACTCGATCGACAATGTGAAGCAGAAGATTCAGGACAAGGAAGGCATTCCACCTGACCAGCAGCGTTTGATCTTTGCTGGCAAGCAGTTGGAAGACGGTCGAACGTTGAGTGACTACAACATCCAGAAGGAGTCGACGTTGCACCTCGTGCTGCGTCTTCGTGGTGGCAACTAAGAGTTTAGAGGTCCTTTCTGACTGTAGCTTGGTTTTTAACTAAAATACATTAAGTTGTGTGCTGTTATTCTTGATTATGATAATTATCTGTGCTCTAGGTCACTTGATTTAATGTCAAAGACCTTGGTCTCATACTTTACAAATTCATGAAAGATCAGGTGAGTTCGTTCTGATAATACTCTCTTACAAATTACGGCTACATGCATGCGATGTTTGTATCATCAAGTTGTGTTGTTGTTGGTATGAGATTGTCGCCGTCACAGTGGCGTTCATCGTTCACGTTGTGTCAACGGAAAAGGTTTGCCGCTGCTCCGACTATTACACAAAGTTCTACCACGTGGTCACATAGCATGTCAAAATATATAAATAGTATGAAAGTAAGATGCAAATGAACTGGGCTCTGCAAACGGATACATTCTTAACTATTAGCCCCCAGAATAAAAGCACTTGTCACAAAAGAATCCCAATATCGCTGCTTGAGAGAGTCCACCAATATTGCACGGGCATTATGACCGCTATGAGACGACAAATTTGGTCGATTTACAGGGTTGAAAACACTCGTAGATGTGCGCGTGTTGATCATTCAATCCTCAATTTGCCTCATCACCACCACATCTTCACATCATCTGCCATTTTCATATCAGCATGTCGATTCATCGCAATGATTTCCTCACGCTATGGAAACTTTCCAGAGCCGGCGATGAAGCCAGAATACAAGAGTATATTGCGGAATCTGATGCAGTGGCACGTAACTTGGTGAACCTCAAACATCATTGCAAGGGCACCTCGCCGCTCATGGAAGCCGCTGCAAGCAAGTGCAATGAACCCGTCGTGGCTCAACTTATTGCAGCTGGCGCTGACGTCAACGATGTTGACGATACGAAACTCAAGAATACAGCTCTCCATTATGCTGCAATGACAAACGCAGACCCGCTAACGATCGAAGCGTTGTTGGAAGCGGGGGCAAATGCCTTTGCAGTCAATCGCAAGGGTTTCACACCGCTGGATGTTGCTCGTCAAAGCGGTCGAAAGACTGCTGGTGCTGCGTTATTGGAGCACATGAAGGTGCACGCTGGATGGTTGTTCCTGCGTGGCAAGTTTCACTGGAAAAAGCGTTGGGCTGTGGTAGTAGCTTGTAACAAGCAGCGCACCTCCACGGAACTTTGTATTTTCCGTGGCCTAAACGATCTGCGTCCTTCTGTAGTTATGCTCATCGACGAAGCGGCACGAATGGTACACTTTTCGTCTACAGACAGTTACTCGTGGCTCCAGCGCGACAATGCGTTCGTTTTCGACAAGCCCGTGATGTGCCACTATGTGAAGAAGGAGAAGTTTACACGCTCGCCAATATGCAAAAAGACGATGAGCTTGGTCAATGTCCAAACACTTCATTGCGTGTTTGCTGCGGACAGTTTGAACAATCTAGCCCAATGGCGCCACGTGCTGGAAAGTTCCAACTTTCAGTCACGTGAGAGCCAATCGGTCTTGCGTTGCTCGTCACTTTTTCAGTCTCAAAACGGTGAGCTCTATTATTGGCCACATGAGCTTGTTGATAACTTGCGCGCCACGATCTTGCAGGAGCAGGAACAAGAGCGAGAACAAGCTAACGATCCAGTGCAACAACGTCTTCGCGCTACGTTTGAAGAGCGCCGTGCATCTCTTGCTTCAACTCCGGCTCCGGCTCCGGCTCCAGTTGCAGATTTATCTACTTTCAACGAGCAAACACTCGAAGCAGCACAGATGTCAATGCAGCCGTCTGGGTTGCACAATGAGGCATTTGGTGAGCCACCGCAGAATTTGCAACGGCATGCTACATCTGACCAATCAATTGATCGATCGATCGCTTTGCAGAATGATGGCCGCAGTCGAGTGCACTTTACACCATTTTCTGAGAAGCAAATGGAGGCACCCGTAGCAGCAAAATCTTCCTACACTGATCGACAGCAAACGCAGTCGAATGTCAGCAATGACAGTGAGAGTGAGACAAATTCCATTGGCCCTGAGTTTGTGACGGAAGTTGTGATTGCAACTGAAAATGATTCCAAAGAGTTCAAGCCAGAGGAAAGCTCACTGCAAGACAAGAGTAAAGCTGAAGAAGACGACAATAATCAGAAACAGCACGACGAGGATTTACAATTATCTGATGCACCAGAAAAGTCTTCATCTCCTGGATGCAAAATCTGTGGCATGGCACGACAAAACGCTGTTTGTACGCCATGTGGCCATCAAATTGGCTGTACGAGTTGTGTCAAGACTGTTATGCGCACATCAACGGGTTGTCCGGTATGCCGCATGCCCATGTTGTCCGTTCTTAGTGTTGGCAGCGATTAAGTAGTTGTTAAGTGACTGTTATGTGAGGCTCGTGTGTACCACACCATATCGAAGTGACAGTCGACTTTAATAAATTTCATATTTGACCAATTATACGTCTCCAAGCAATATATACGGTAGCCCTCTCCCATTATTGGACGCGAGGAAGGTTGTGCGGTGTGTAAACATCTTTGTGGCTATTGACGTACGTCCTCACTTGTTCATTGATCAGATTCTATCAAATTTCCGTTGTCTTATCTACACAAGCGTGTTTCTATCAACATTGTAGCGTCTAAAACCACAAAGAAAAAGCTTGACAAAGACAAGACCTACGTTTTTACTGCGATGATATGTTTTGGCTGCTGTGGGGGCGTTAATGCTCGTATGTTATTCCTCACGGCATGTGCTGTGATTGAATACATTGCACAAACTGTTGTGCTGGTTTTGGGACCCATGTTGACGCTACATTTCTATCCAGAGACGTCATATCATCGTCTTGGCTTTTACACTGCGATTCTCTCCGGTTCAAGTTTTCTCGGTCATGCACTGAGCTGTGGCTTTTGGATCAATTTGGCACGCTCACTTAAGAGTAGTAAAGGTGTTATTCTATGGGGATTAGCAGTCACAGGGGCAGGGTTCTTCAGCTTGCTACTGTGCAAGAGTTTAGTGGCCATGTCACTTGTCCGATTTGCGACTGGGCTCAGCAGCGGTGTATTGCCCGTGGCTCTTATAGAGATTGATAATATTTGTGGGAACCGACAGACAAAGCTGGCTACAATGGCGAAAACGCTGGGTGTGGGCCTTGGTGCGATAATTGCTTTTGGTTTTGTTACACTTGGCTTGAACCTGCCGCAGAGCTCGTTTGAGGATTCAGCCAAAAGAGACTCATCGCTGTACTTTTATCCGTTCTGTTTTGTGTCAATTTTCGCTTGGATTTCGGTTATAGTGATGCTAGTGGGACTTCGTCTGCGTAGTCAGACGTCATATACTCAGCTTACGGAAGAGGATGATGATTTTTTGAACTTTATGCCACAAATTCAGATTGATGCACAATCTTCACCACGCTCATCGACGAGTTTGAACACCAGTAGCACTAGTAGCAGTGAAAGCGGTAGTCCCATGGCAACTACTGTTGCACACGTCAAGTCGGCGTTTGAGGAAGCGTTTGGACGGACAGCTATGGGTTTAGGCATTAAGAAATCTGTTGCCTCACCAGCAAAACTAACAGCCATCAAGGTGTTGGCGACCCCGCAGCCTCATTTTCGACTAATCCGTGGAATTTTGCCTCATTATTTTCACGGCTACACATCGGATGGACACTTGATCGTGTGGGATTTTGTTGGTAGGGTCAAGATGGACAAACTCTTCGCTTCGGGCTTTACTACTTCTGATTTGCGCGATCACTATCGCTTTTTCTTGGCCTTTGCACAGGCGACGCTATTGCGCAGATCGACTCAAAAGATCATGTATATAGTGGACCTTGATGGTCTATCGCTTGGCGATGCCGACACACGTGCAGTAGATGGTGTGTGCGCAGTGGTTAAGATGCTGCAACGCGAGCTGCCGGAGCGTCTGCAAGCACTTGCAGTGCTAAACTCGCCTGTGTGGTTTTCACAGGTCATGACGCGCATTCGCCCGCATCTTGCAAAGCGGACTGCAGACAAAGTGTCGTTTCTGTCCAGAAAAACTGCCACTCAAGATCTGATTGCGCTGATCGGTGTAGACAGTCTTCCTCAGCGCTATGGCGGACGCAATGGTGTAGAGATTGGCAAGAGCGCACAAGAACGCTCTCTGGATGACTTGCTTAAGCGAACAACTGCGTCGTTGGAACGTACAATTGAGATTGTAGGGACCCCGCGATCGCGACATTCGAATATTGGTCGTTTGCGTCCCGGCAGCAATCGCTCCACCTTGAGTGACGACAGCAGTGATGAGGAGGCATTTTTTGACTGCTCTGAATATGGTTTGCAGGGCGTTGAAGACGTGGAGGACCAGGAGCCAACGATCTCAGTGGTTGTGCACTCTCACTCCACTTTGAAGACTGAAGCCGTCGCCCGTAGTAATGCTGCAACCCCTGGAATGAAACAGCCACTGGACAAAAAGCCCGTGAAAGTGACTCAACCTTCATCAAAATCTGACGATGCTCCTGTGCCTGACCTTGCAATCACTCGCGAACCGCTGGCATGTCTAGTACTACTGGTGTACTTCTTCTGGCTACTGGTACAGCTAAGTTTTGACGAGATGCTTCCGCTGTGGTTTTTCAAGCAGAATCCAATGACATTAGGTGGCAGAGTACACGCTGAACTACTTGCGTCGCAGTCAACAGTGTCATCAATTACGCTTACAGTTTCTGGAACGTTAGCATCGTTTTCCATGGCTGTACTCCTGGGCCAGATGGTGTCAGCCATTTTGTGTTCTTCTACTCGCAATGTCATGACCCCGCTTGCCACTCTACGTATTGGCTTGCTTCTTCAAGTTCCCATATTGGGCTGCTTTCCACTCATCAATCTCTTGAAGGTGGATGAGTTACCATTCTCGTGGTTTATGGTGGTGGGTGTGCTCATGGTGAAGCAACTTGTCGCGGGTGTGGCCTTTCACGGACTTATGGCTCTACTGGACAATTCCCTTGCCGTTGATCGCCGGCTTGCTGTGCATCGTGCTGCACAACATGTTCGATACGTGGCCCACTTTATCGCAAGCGCTGCAGCTCCAGCACTTTTTGCACTGCTGGGTTATTTTGAGCAGGCGTTCCCTTTTGATCAGAGTCTGCTGTACTTCGTGCAAGCTTTGGGGCTCATGTTCTTGCTGTTCTTTTCTATTGCAATCCCTAGCCGGATGAATTTCCCTGTGCTCTTTAGCATGGGCAAGCGGTGATGTGGATGTGTTAATATAGCGTTGAAATTAATGTATTTCCATGACGACATACAGCAAGTTGGAACTTGGTTTTTATTGATAGTGTAAGCATACATTCGTAGGGGTTTGCTGCTCTTAGGATCGATATCTACATTGCTACTCGTATAGTAGAATCCTTGGCGTCGCGAACGCAAACCCCTTACTAGAGCCTAATGAAAACTCTGATCCTTTTACAAAAGGCAAGACTAGACCACATGGAGCTGCAGTTTATGTTTAAAGCGCATCCACTTTGTTGTTTGGCGTGAACGCGGCCATACCGGAGCGCTGGTACTCAATGAGCACGCCCACCACAACAATATTCAGCACGATAAGCGAGTAAAACTGCAGGTAGAAAATCACGTCCCAGTGAAAGATTGCAAGAAAGTAAGCCAGGTAAACGGCAGTAACATGGGTGCTGATTCCCAAGAACGATGCGACGCGCACAAGTCCGCTAAATCTTCGGCGGTAGGCAGTGTGATGCTCGCTAGTACAAGCTGCCAGAACGGCTTGACGATCAATCTCCGCCTGCGATGCGGCATCTGACGTGAAGCTCGCCTGAACAGTGAGATAAACCGTGTAAATTCCGAGTAATATCGTGTCCAAAGCACATGCCGACTGTTTACGAGCAGCGCGGTACTCGGCCCGCACACTGGCAACCGTTTCACCGTCACACTCGGACTGAGGAAGCGCATTCTCCATGTAGACGTTTTTGATCTTGTCATAGATAATAGCATGCAGCCAGAGTGACATGCCTGACCAGAAGCCAAGATGAAATAACAAGACACTACCATTGTAATGATGCTGCATAACATTTCCCATGATCCAAAAGTTCGGAGCAATTACAAGTCCATCAACAACGCCGTCTAGAATTCGACCCGTGCGAGTACCTCGCTTGCAAAGACGAGCAACTTGTCCATCAGTACAATCTGAGACGATCCAGACAAACATGAACAACGCAGCTGCCATTAGTGAATTCGAAGGTTCCCACGCTAGTGGATAATGGAATTCCGAGTCATAAAGACACAAGGCAGCACCCCATCCAAGAAATAGACCAAAAATAGTAATTTGATTGGGAGTAATGACAAAAGGAAGATAGCTCACAATCACAGCAGGGACAGCAGCTAGACGACGATGCCAGTAATAATCAATAAGCTCCTCAACATCATACATCTTGGTACATGTTGCCTTCTTGTAACGTTCTAATATGGTCTCCTCACTCTTTTCCTCTGTCATCGTAATGGATGAGGTTATAGACTTGGACAAATTCTTTGGTGCAAGTTTAATCGTGGCCAATTGTTCATCACCGCTATTTGTAGGTGAATTAGAGCGTGAACCATTACGATGTGTGACACCCTTACACAATACATTAACTCTTGAGCCATCCATAATTTCTTCCGACTTGATATCCACCATTGAAACACAAAAGAGTCGTTTCTACTATATTATTAACCTCGAAAAGCTTTAAAAGGTCAGTAAGGTCGGTCGTTCACTTCTTCTTGCGTGATCTCGAAATGAGCTTTGGCTTGATATTTATCTACTCATAATATTGAGGTTTTACTCTTTTTATTCCTTTTTTTTATGATGTGTGTCGCATATAACTTGCTAGAATATATAGGGGTTAGGTAGGATTGGCATTAAAATGGAGTGAATTGATCGCTAAATCAGAGGTTGCATGATTTACAATGACAGATGAGAGGAGGTTTCAAAAGGATTTCATCGTTCAATTTAGACAGCTAAAAACTTGAAGAATCTTTTGATGATGCCTTATACATGTAAACGCAGGTGCTGTCCTACGTTTACGTGGCTCTTAGACCGTGCCACATGTCGGCAAAAATTGACAAACTGCCGACATGTGTGTCGATGACCCTTTTTCTGGAAGGTCAAAACACGCCCAATGGCCAAGTCGCCAATTGCGCAGCGCGTCCAGGTGCTGCGCATCGTTATCGCTCCAACGGCAGCTTTCTCAGCTTAATTTATTTGCCATGGCACAGCTTGCGTACGTAGTTCAAGTGCCATGTAGTGTCATTTCTTCAAGTTCAGCTCGTTGCACTGCGACAAGATGTTGACGGCACATTGATTATTCATCCATTATACAAATCCGACCATTGTTACATGCATGGTGCGATCCGAATCCTGTTATAACTTATGGTTGTATCAGGGTACATACACGACCTTTTGTTATACTGAGACTTACTATACTAGTTTGCCCGAGCTCGAGTGCTAGCTAACCACTAAAACCTTCGAGGATATTCCATGTCGGATCATCCGATACATTCTCCCGGACTCGTCTGTTTTAAAAGACGCGACATGTTCCATATTCGTCATCATACTCCAACATTGGTTGAAGTAAAGTTTGACTTGTTCTAGATGGCGTTTACGCGCATGACTCATATCAGATTTGGTCTTTTTGACAAAGTAATTAACGTATTTTCAGGCAGTGTGTCGATGTTCCTAGTCTGTCTCCTAAACCAGCAGTTCCTGACCACACATTGAATGAACATTGCACCGTTTCCTATATCAATGGTCTAAATGAGTTAGGAATAAACGGCTATTACTATCCAATTGCACGTACACTATATTTCTACGTAAACCGCGTCGATGTTATATTGATGATACCAGGGCTTTAAGATTGCCGACTCAATATCAATCGCACCGACACAATTGATCAATTCATCGTCTCTAGATACTATCGCCATCTGAGTGAGCACGGTCAGACTAACATCGCCTTGCTATGAAAAAAGATAAAGGTTTGCCAAGCCATCCATCAACCGTTTCACTGAATCATGACGATCACACCTGCAAAAAAAGAACAAAAGAAGCACGAAGATGCAAAGCTGTGACCGAGCCCTTTCACATAAGTGCAAAGCACGAGTTGATCAGGGGCAGCAACATCATTCGAAATCTGAGTTAATGGATTTTGTATCTGATACTCCACAACAAGCCACATGCTATAGAGAAAATCACTGTCAAGGTTGTCAGCAGACGAGCTCGCTCAACCACACAGCAAAATGGCATGCAACATGCTAAAAAGACATAAGTACAACAGGACTAGCTTGGCTTGAGGGATCATCTCGTAAATGGAGTAACTTGTCTGCGCAAACATCTCAACCTCTACTTTTGAGTCGTCATTACTACCGATAGCACTTTCATTCTGACTCATGCGAATTACAAAACGCCATCATGAACGTCATTGTAGAAATACTATCCGTAACATTTGACCTCATTATCCTCACTACTGGTTATGTTATGGAGATAACAAACAATATCCTTGTCGCTCACGCTGGTCTTGTTCATTTTTGCATCGCTTTAAGATCCATTGTTAACATAAACTCTACATAAAAAGATTCAATCTCGACATCCACACACACGCACAACCTTAAAACAACAATGGTCCCCGTTATTGCTACATCACCAAGTAATCAGTCTCAATGTAAAGTAAATCCCAAGCCACCATCGTATCGCTACGTGACAGAAGAAGGTGTAAAACATATTCTAGCATACCGCTACAGTGGTAGTGATGCATCACTTTTGTACAATTACGTCATCTCGCCCGTAGCTCAATGGCTCGTTGATCACGTCCTTCCACCACGTTTAGCACCGAATACCATCACTATTGGAGCACTTTCACTGGTAATTCTGTCCCACTTGATTATGCTTTGGTAAGAAGGACACGGACACGGACACAGTGTCACATTTGTTGTAGTTTTAAAAGACTCACGAGATCAAAAGACTCACGTGAAGATTGTATCCTTTGTATCTTATCTAGGTATGCACCCAATATGGTGGAGGAAGCACCAAGATGGGTGTATATTAATGCAGGTTTATCACTCCTTTTCTATCAAATCTTGGATGTTGCAGATGGAAAACAAGCTCGAAAGACGGGTAACTCGTCTCCGCTTGGACTGTTATTCGACCATGGGTGCGATGCACTTAATGTTGTTGTTAGTGCGTGTACGTTTGCGTCCACAATCATGCTTGGACCGACATATTGGGTGGGTCTTTTGTGACGATGATGTATAACACGTGTGGGAAGCTTGTCTTGAGATCAATTTCATTCGTCGTCTTTCTTTTCTTCTAGTCACTGTTGATATTCCTGGCACCAGCCATGGTGTTCTTTATGGCGACGTGGGAGGAGTACTACACTGGCACATTGGCACTTCCGATCATTAATGGACCTAACGAAGGTGTACTGATCATGTACTCAATTTACATTGCCACGGCTATTGTCGGACCAACGATGTGGACGCAGCCCAACATTTTCTTTCCACAGCTGAACAATAATCACGTGTTTGTCTTGTTTACGATTACCAGTGCGATCGTCCAGTGTTGTTTCAGCGGTGCGTTTGTCAAGTAGATAGATAAAGTGGCTGTATATACTAGCAGAGATTTATGCGTTTCTTGTGTCTCATGTGCAGCTGTTGTTGCTATCCGTTCCATGGAGCGCAAGGCAAAAGATGGTGCTGCAGCACTGCTTGGAATTACGCCTTTCATCACGCTTGTTTTGATGTCTGCGCTTTGGGTGCTATGGTCTCCATCTGATGTGTTTACGGACCATCCACGTCTCCTCATCTGGACTGTAGGGTTCGTCTTTGCAAAGGTATGACGGTCAGTGAATGTTTCAATGGAAATATTGATGCTAACTTTGGCGTGGATATATTTCTATTGCAGATGGTGATGCACATGATGCTCTCACATATGTGCGAAGAGCCGTACTGGTTGCTACGCAAGACTTTCTTGATCCAGCTTATCGTCTCTTTCCTGCTGCTGGTTGGTGTTGTGCATTGGGTACGTTTGTCGTAATTGCGGCGCACCTATGCTGTTTGCCGACTCTTGTCTTACGTGATGCTATGTAGGGCCACGAAAGCTCTGTAGTGCAGCTATTCTTCACGATCTCACTGTTGGCCTACGTGCATATGATCTACTTTCTCTCGACGGAGCTCGCTACAATTCTGGGCATCCGTATCTTCAAGGTAAAACAAGGATAGAAGCTTTGCTGCTCGTATTGTGGAATGATCACGAAGCGTGTAACTGCAATAACAAGCACAATAACGTCTTTATGATCTCAAGCGAGCAGTTTGCGCGTTGTTCAGTAAGCTAAAACGTAAGCTGGACGAAAAGCACTATATGAGCGGGTGGCACCGCTCTACTACTCCACAATGCCCACCATTCATGATGAGGAAGCTAACTGCTACTGAAATAATCCCTGACAATATTGCAACGATAACCATCAGCTTGTCTCGTTGCGTCTTGCGGCCCTATCATACCCAAAAACCCATCGGACGTCGATCAAATACCACATGTTCAAATGTTAGTCAAATACAACAAGTGCAAAACCATGCTGCGGCAACAAGCATAACGCACCACTAGTCGAGGCTGCGCTATTGGTGTTTGCAGCTGATTAATCCGTTTGTCTAGTAGCTGATAGCGCTGCACCATATTTTTAACCGCCTCTTGAAGTTCCTGTTGAAGCTTCTTGACCGTATCGGATATCAGCTCTGTGCGCTCATCACGCATTTTCCCGTTGGCTACGACACTGATAACATCAGCTTTGATCCGCGAGATCTCAATGGCGCGGTCCTGCTCCTGTAGTTCTGCATCATATTTGCGGCGTTTGTTATCGGCTTCCAGTTGACTCAACTGCTCTCGTTGAATGCGCAGTTCATCCAGCATGTCATCATGCAAAGTTGTGACATCATCAGGGTTGTGCGACTGCCCTGACTGTAGCAGTTTGCCCTGTACAATCTGTGACAGCTGATGATTCAAGTTCTCAAGCGACGGAAAGATGCCACTTGCCTGCTTGTCAAACTCCGCCTGATTCCTCAACAACTCATCCTTCTGCTGCACAAGTTGTGCAATGGTCTCTTCCATCTGCCGCACGTACGTGCGTAAATCCTCATGTGTCCACGCTTCACCAGTCCCTCCTGCATGTTCCTGGCCGAGTTCTTGATTTATGTCCTCATCATGTCTCATCATACTCTCGGATATTGATGGTGCTCCTCCGTCGTCATCGTCAGTAACATTGTCAAAATTCAGTGCCTGCTGTACGAAGTCGGTGGAATAATCTCTCAGGTCCTTAGCTGTAGTACGACGAAATGTTGTAGTAGCTCGCACCCTGTCGATCGGACTTATCCTTGCTCGATTAGAACGAGGAGCTGCTGTTTCCTTCTCCGTGACAGGCCATTTGAGCTGTTCGTCCGAGAGCTCCGCCAGTCTCATGCGATCCGAGCGCGTTGTATCTTCCGTACGTATAATATGATCCATCCGACCACTCAATGAACCATTCAGCGCCTGAGACGTGTGGTAGTCCACGTCTAGCAGCGTTGGCCGCTCCAACAGTGTGTCTCGCTTCGCATCGTGCTGTGTAGTGGAAACTGTACGGCTTCGTGTCCGCGTGGCAGGCCCGTTACTTTCACAGAACTTGCGGTCATCCTTAGAAATAATCTTGTGTAGTTCAGAAAGCTCTGAGCGTGCCTTGAAGATACGTTCATTCAGCCGTGCATCGTTTTCCTTGGACCCAAGGCCGGCGTCACTTGGTATTGGCATTGGCATATTGGGCTTGACAATATCACGTTAATGGAAAATTTCCTTTTAAAAAATATTCTGATAAAAGCTGAAAAAAGAAATAGTGCAGTTCAAGTTGCGGAATGAAAAGAGGAAATTTGTCAATCAAGCAGTTTCAAACTTCATTTATTAATGAATGAGCCGACTCAAAAACTAATTACATCTTGAACGAGTCTGGCATCGGTTCATCGGGTAGGACACGAGCGGCTCGGCTAGAAGCATCTCCAGCTGCGGCTGCTGTGACGATCGATAATGATCGTGTTGATTGTGGCGCAGCCAACTTCTCTTCTAGTGTCTGCGGTGCTGCAGCCTGAACCCCAGTTTAGTCCAGAAAAAAAGACGAGATTTTCATCAAAATCATATTGACATACCCAACGTGAATATCGTTTGGACAATTGAGACGTACCGGTGCTGCATCCAATTGGGCAAATAGCTCCTGCCTCAAGTTGTCATGTGCTGGGTTGTGCTTTGTGAAGCGGATGGTCGAGCCCTGGTCGTTGTTATACACGTTCGTAAGTGACTCGTCCACACATTCTTCCACTTTATTCACGTAGTTTTCTGGATCATGACAAAACCTGCTTTGTCCAGTAATTCCGCAAATAACAAAAGTTTAGTCGGTTGGTCACTAACATCGTTCACGTCTCCTTAACATGAAGCGTTCAACGTACATGTCCAATGCCTCACAGTTCGCAACGCTGTTTGTTTCCGGAAAGTCTTTCATGTAAAAGATGCCTTTTAGATACGTGAGCACCGCTACCATGTAGTTCAGCTCTGGATCCCACTTGGGGAACTTGGGCTTTAGATCCAGTTCCTTCGTCTCTTCGTCCACATATGGATGAAACACGTTGGTGTGAAACACAATACGAGGATACGTTCCTGGTCCATTGTAACTGCAGCAACAGTATACAAAAAAGCACATTAGAAACTTCAGCTAACCTCTACAAACTCGGTTCTGACCTACCTTTCTGGTAGAAAAATCGTAAACTTGAAGATTCCATTGCGATAAAGTCCAGCGTGAATAAAAATAACCCCGTACCATACGCGTGAGTGATCAAAACTTGGCAGTACATAGATACCACTTGGAACATGTTGACGTAAATGTTTGTATTCAATCATAAGACCATAGTCCTTCATTGTTTGTGACCGGTATTTCTGCAAAGATGATATGGGGCCATCATTATTGCCCTGTGCTTCACTGCCTTGTGCTTCGTCCGATGTGTGTGGTCTGTCAGCAAGAAGATATACAAAGGTTGTATTAGTGCTATCTATATGCGATCCCGACGCATCGATGCTGCTAAGAGGCATTAAGAACGACGTACGCATCCGAGGTCTTGAGTCTCCGTAGCATCGTTATAATTGAAATAATCGCATTTTAGCTTCGTACTTATTGGAAATATAACAGTAGCTGTAACCGTACTTAGTGACCCGTATCGGAGACTGTTCAAAAACCGGTACATCATGATCGATTACCAGTTTGCTCCATTGTGCAACATTATGACGGGCATCGAGCGCTACGGGTCCTCAGGTGCACATACAGTGGAGGGTAACGTGGCTGGATCAATCGCTGCAAAGCTGACAAAGCAGCGTGAGAAACAGCAGAAAGAGTATGAGGATAAGAGACAGGATATAAAGAAGATCAACCGTCGAGGAACTCGCATTGACGCGAATTTTCAGTCGCACCAGGACGACGACGAGAGCGAGTTCAAGGCACGTTTGATGTAGCAACAAGCACTTGCTTTTTGCTTCTTTCTATTGCTATTTATATCGTCTTTTGGCTGATGTTGGTTGAGTATTTGTTGGTCTACAGCGCCAAACAGTGGGACTTGTGACAGCTGAAGAGTTTCGACAGAAGCGCAAGGATTTACAGAACCGGAAAAGCGCGTCTGTTGACTTGCAGTGAGTGGAGTGATACGTCATGATGTCGTATTGATTATGTTTGATGGTGTTGTTGTCTTTAACTATGATCTGCTGATGTTGATAATATTATTGCTAGACCAGAGGAGCAGCAGCAGACGGAGCTAAAGACGACGAAGAAGAAGAAGCGGGAAAAGAAAAAGATGGGGCTATTATCGTTCGATTTAGGCGGTGAAGATGAAGCGGAGGAGGAACTTGTGCAGTCAAAACGTGCAAAGAAGAGTATAAAGAATCCTTATGTGGAGACGGACTTTTTACCAGACAAAGAACGAGAGAAGGAGGAGGCTCGCGAACGTCAGCGACTCCGTGTAGAGTGGGAAGCAGAGCAAGAAGTGATTAAAAGTATGTGCTTCTCCTTGCATTGTTGCGAGTTTTGATGGCTGCTTGATTGGTACTCATGCTTGCTGTGATGTGGTTGATGCAAATGATATTTGAACAGATGAAAATGTTGCAGTGACCTACAGCTACTGGGATGGTTCAGGGCACCGGCGGGAGATCACGGTAAGCGCAGTATGACTGAAAATACGGATGTGAAGTAAAATTGCTCAAAGGTATTGAACGAACGATATGTATACGCTTCTGATCAGGTTCCAAAGAAGACGACGATTGGCAAGTATCTGGAGCTTGTGAAGCAGCAACTAGTTTCCGAATTCGCAGAGCTGCGCGGTGTCAGTGCAGAGAATCTGATCTACATTAAGGAGGATCTCATTATCCCCCACGTAAGTTGTTTGTAAAGCTTAGGTTCAATCGAATACTTCTAATTCTGTTTCCTTGTCTGTTTACTGGCAGCATTATTCATTTTATGATTTGATTGTAACAAAAGCGCGCGGGAAGAGTGGACCGCTCTTCCACTTTGACGTACATGACGATGTTCGTCTCCTACAAGACCGACGCGTTGAAAAAGATGAGGTGAGCTACACCGCTCGTCACGTCGTTTGTAAGCAATTACTGTGACTAACATGCGCTGTCATGTCCATAGTCACATCCAGGCAAAGTGGTGGATCGTCATTGGTACGAAAAGAACAAGCACATTTTTCCTGCTAGTCGGTGGGAAGTGGTGAGTAAATAACACTTTGAAGTAAGAACCTGCACTCCAGTGATAGACTGACGATGTCACGCTTTTTGCAGTATGATCCTAGCGTTATCCGCGAGAAGTATACTATCCATGGCGACTAACGCATTGGTTTGTGGCAATCTGGCCGCTGTAATGTATACAAGCATGCGAAAGAAATGAACAGCTTTTGAGTCAAAAGCTCTTGATTATGATTTGTTACTACCCGAACGTTCGCGTTTGAAACCCATAAAGTGGGATCAAACTGGCGACACAGAGCAACGCGCAATAAAAGATGGTACAAGCATTTTCAACAGCACATACTGTTGATAAACGCGCAACTCCCAGCTAGCCCCTTTGTGCTAGAACTAGCAATCTCAACAGCTTCGTTAGAAAAGAGCAGAACTATAGACGTAGGAAGTCTACTCATCCTCGTCGGACTGAATGAACTTTGAGTAAGACGTATTCTGACATTCGCCGTTGGCATCGAAGACAGCTTTGTAAAATGATCCGTCAGCCCCTACGACTAAATTATTGAGAGCACACAACTTGTCAGCCACAATGCCTTGCAAGATAGTAACTTTATACGTTGTAGCAACACGTACCAACGATTGTGTTCTTCTCCGTACCAAACGCACAGATCGTTCGGGTCTCTGGCACACGAAATTGGACAAAACTCCACTCTGAGCTAAAATACTTAGGAAGCAATCCCCGCATGAACGACAGGCTAAACGCACGCGACAAAAATAAAGCAAGAAAGCACCGGTTAGGATGGATACTACATAACATCCATGCACAGAACAGCTAGTTTCACAAAAGCTACCTCGACTTGGAATTCTCGGTCCCATCATCGTCTCCGCTGCGAGGAGCACTTCCTGCCGAGAAGTGGGACGGCATGCTTTGCGAAGGAACATTTGCCATAGTAGTCGGGTCGGATGATGAAAAACTCTGGCCTGAACCTTCATCCGTCAGCGAAAATACGTGCACTGTACCCTTGTCACTCGAACACGCGAGCAACGGCGCTGTTGGGCTAAAGCAGATACTGTAGATCTCTGCACGATCAGCTCCACGACTACAACTCAAACGTCACGTCACCTATTCTGACAACGCCCAAGCACATTCGCATGACATGCATTCAATACTCACCGCAACTCCTGCGTAATTTGACCGCTTTGGGTGTCAAAAATACGAATGAGTGTGCCCTTGTCTGATGCTGTCGCAAGACGCGTGCCATCAACGTTCAAGCAAATCTGCAAGCAATCAAATTAGCTCCTAACACTTCCTATGTTCAACCACAGTACTTACCTGCGACAACTCAGCTTCGTGGGCAGTGATGAGCGTCGTCTTCCGCAAGTCGTATAGCTCGATACGGACAGTGCCGCGCGTCACACCTGGGCAGGCCAGTACCGTATTGGACAGATTCGGACACAACGCGCACAAACCCTTGGGGTTCGCCAAAGTCTCAATATGATCCACAAGCTTCAAGTCCGCTATAAGAGTGACAAGATCATTCGTCAAGTAATGAATGACATAGATACGTCATACCGACGGTAAAGTGAGCGACATACAAAAGTTGTAAACGTAAATCTTGTTCTGTAGCACGACCACCACACTAGCATTCCGCAACATAAACTACTGTCAAAACAACAAATAAAAAAATACGAGTACTATAGCATGTTACGTACCGGTCACGACGCAACTTGACCGCCTTTACTTCACTGCGAAAACTAAGTTCTCCAATATTGCGGCTCTGATGGTCATCCCAGATCATAACCTAGCCATACGACAAGTCAGCACGTTTTTATCCTCAGCCTCAGCAGCACGATTTAATATCCATAGACACCTTATTAGGAGGATATTTTGGATTGCGTCCACCACCCACAATGGCCAAGATATTGCAACGAAACAGCATTTCCACAATCCCAATGCCACCATTGGAAAAGTCTGTGTAAATATACAAAGAGAGTGAGATAATCAATACATGAGAAAAATGAGACACATAGATATCGAGATGTATACTAAAACATAGTAATTTATATCCAGCATCTACCCCGATGAAATGTCTCTTTAAATGGGTCACAATTGAAGATTTTAAAACCCGAGTCGGTACCACAAGCAAAACAGCCTATCACCGAAGAGAAAAACAACGAAAAATCTGATTATATCTGATTATAAGACAAGATAAAAAGAGAATGAAAGAGAGACGCACCACTGTCTTGATTAAATCCTACAAAAAGAAGCTCATTTTGTTGTTCATGACTGAGGTTCATAGCTGACATGATGATACTGTATACTGGCTAAGAAAAGAAGGAAGAGAAGAAGAATTACGTCGTAAAAGACTGTCGTGTCGTAGGTGTAAAGTATTTGAGAGAAGGATTTTTGATCAGAGGTTTGATTAAACTGTTTAAACGCCTTGTCGCAGCCAAAACGAACTTTTTGTTTTAACAGTTTTTAGGATTAAAAAAGCTGAAATGGGTTTTGTATTTTGAATTCAAAAAATACTGGTGGGTTTTTCGAAACTAAAACACAAACGTTTCCTGCTTGCTTATGATGGGAACCAAATATTAACTTCATAAAACCACGCAACGCTACCGATTTACACACCTTTTTATGATCTAAGTAGCTTTTGTCTCATGTAATTTTCTGACGACATTTTCATCTTAGAGACAGCAAAATTGTCTTGAAATATTGAATATTCCCATCAAAATGCATCATCCTCTTGGCTGCTTTATTGTAAGTATAGAAGCTCGAAACAAAATGTATTGCTCACACTACTTCCACGTTGATACGGCTTGATATGTTCTAAGCTATCTGATGTATCTATCTACTACGTCTCTTACTTTCTACCTCGTCTCTTACTACCGACACTACCACCATAGCGCGTCACGGCCTCACGTTTGTTACGCTTGGCCATAAGCTTTGGGTCGAGCGGAATATAAGCATATGGCTCCAGCTTTCCCTTCTTCTTGATATCACCACCTGCTTTCTTTGCACGGTATTCACGACCACTAATGCCATCGGTATCACCACCACGTTTGCGTTTTAATCGATTACTCTTGTCGTTTCTCTTTTTATCAAGCCCCATGCGCTGCAGCTGCGACGCTACGTCCTGCTTAATCTTCTCGTCATCATCACTGTCACCTCCACCCTTCATATCGTCATCATTGTCATTACCAGGGATAATCATACGTCCATCCTTTGTCATTTGAAACTCGTCGTCACTATCACCATCATGATCATGACCACTCCCCTTTTGTGCTGAAAAAATATTCTTTACTGCTGCATTGTCATCAAGGAAATCCATGATATCGTCCTCATCTTCACGAATGACTTTACCACCTTTATGCTTCTTGTGCAAGGCTTTCTTACGCTTCAACACCTGCATAGCTGCAGCCTCACCGTCATCATCATCAGCTTCATCGTCTGAGTCAGCCATAAACTCTTCAAAAGTGCCACGGTTCTTCTTTGCAGCACGACTCTCAGCAGCCTCAGCTGCAAGCTCTGACTTCTTCTTGTCCTCACGTTCTTTTGTCTTCTTGATGTGACGGATTAGTGCACGGTCTTCCTCGGGTACAAGAGCAGCCACACACTCGTAGCCAAACTTGCGGCACAGTTTGATTAGGATAATACGGGTCTTGGCACGAAAGCGATTCTTGCTTTCACCAATCCACACCAACAGACCATTAGTGATATCAGGGAGGAACTGTTCTAGCACATCCTTTGGTAACACAGCAATGCCAAGCTTCATAAAACCAATGACACTTTTAATCACCTCACGGGCCTTTTCGTGCAGCAGCATGAGAACCGTCTTAAGCAGTGCTGGCATAGCCTGTGCGATCGCAGAATCTTCACGACCAAATTCAAATACCAAACGGCTCAGACAAATCACAGCAGCGCTACGCATGTGAGGTGTGCGCGCAGCCAGGCCACCTAGCACCATCTGCATAAACTCCATGAGTCCGTTCTGCGGGTCACGGGCGCGCAGAAGCATAGCCATGGCCACCAACAACTCAAATGCAGCCTCCCGAGCCTTGCCATTAGCTTCCTTCGTACAAAGCATAATTTCACCAACAAGGTTCGGCACTAGCTCCTTCTCAGCAAGCCCATCAGTTGCAGATTGAGCCTGCAGCGCACGGATCAAGTGTGCAAGAACACGTAGACGCATTTTCTTGGCTGGTACAGAGCAAGTAAGCAGTGACTCGCAGATTGCGCGGGTGAGATCCTGCAGCTGAGATTCCTCCGACAAAAACTTTGCGTGCAAGTCACAAATGGCCACCAAAGCGGCGTACGAACGCTTTTGCATCGCAGCATCAGCATCATCCAGCAAGTACGGCTTCACCACGCGATACAGCAGTGACACGCTGGTGTCGTCTACATGGGCAAGCAGAGCCAGTGCAAGAGCCATCTGCGCATGCGATGTCTGTCTTAACTTGGCCACACGCTTCGAATTGCAGCCAGCACTGTCAGACTCGACACGCTTTGCCTCCGTCGTCGCTTCGAGCAATTTCTGCATCACTCTCTTGAATATTGTGCCAATCAGCTGGGCCTCAGCAAGCGACGCAAAACCCTCGAGCGTATCTAGCAGTACCTGAGCACGCTCTGTGTCCTTTTCCGGGTCTAACTCTTCTACAAAAGAGAGCAATAGAGGCACATAGCGCCCAGAGTACTTGGCCAAAGCAGCACGATCACGTGCCAGCTTCGCCTCGTCTACTTGCTCCTCGTCATCACCACCTTCCTCTTCAGCGTCTTCCAAATCACCATCTCCCGCCTCAAGATGGTAACGGCGTGCAACAGATTTTTGTAGCGCGCGAGTGCGTTTGACAAGCGCTTGTAGGCCTTGGCAAACTGCAAGGCGCAACTCCGGGTTGCGCTTGTCGGCCATTGCGCTGGCAAGAACTTTGGCAATCTTCTTGAAGTGGGTGTCCACATCCATTGCTCGAGCGCACACGCTTGGAAATAGCGTCCATAGCTGGATTGCACGAGTCTGTAGCTGTTTAGCTTGCAGCGGAGTTACACTGGGCTCACGCGCGCCAGCTTCACAGGCTCGGGCCATGGGCAAAACAACATCAGCGAAGAACGCCAGATCGCCACCTTGTCGAGCAAATCGCAACGCGTCGCGGAAAACCGGCAAAAGCCATGCGCGCTGTTCGCTCACAATCTCGGTAGGGTGGTCGATCGGAACAATCTCAAGAAAGGAGCGAGGCCCCAGAGCTTCTATGGCGGCACCTACAGACAACGCGAACAACTCGGAAAGTGCTTGGGCGCTCTTACCACCTTGCTGCTGCTGTGGAAGTTGGTCAGCAGCCTCGTGTAGCTCGCAGCATGTAACGAGAATGGGCTCGAGTGATGGTCGGCTCGCAGAACCATAGAAGCGGAAGAGCTCGGCAATAAGCGAGAAGACATGATTCCATGCTCCCTGAAAGCGCAGCGACGTCAGACTCTGCAAAGATGCAAGCACACGAGCGACATCCTCAAACGTGCCTTCTGTCTCAAGCACTTCCGGGGAAATTGTAGCTTTCAGAATATTAAGCAATGAGCGAGCAGCCTGGCGCTGCACACGGTCATTGTTTGTAGCAATGTGAGAGCAAACAGCACTCACCACTCGCGGAAGCAATCCGCGGGCCGCTTTAGCGTTCACAGCAGCGAGTCGAACAAGTGTCTGAGACGGAACACGGACGGCATAAATGGCCACAGGTCCACCCTGAGCTTCCAGCGATCCACTGCTCTGTGCGTCTAGTACAGCAGCGACAACCTTGCAAAGAGTGTCGGCCGTGAGCTGCGACTCGGGCGCTGCACTTAGCGCATCCAGTGCTTCGTACGTGACAAGACGCAGCGTCTTTGAGCTTGCATCCAGAAACTGGGCAAGTGCTGCAACAAGAGACGCCACCACTTTGCGCTGCAATAGCGGCAGCGCCGTCTTAAGGAAAGCTACGAGCAGCACCAGTCTCTGATCGTCTTTGCCACCTTTGCCTGCACTAGCAAACACGTTCTCCGCAAAGCTGGCAGTGTGTGTAGAGAGGGCATCACAGCCCTTAGCAGCATGAAGCTCAAGGATATCTATCGTCCACTTGTGTCCAGCCTTGCGCACCTTAGGGCGTGTATCCATCGCTAATGTTAGCAGCACCTGGAAGCTACGTAGTAGTTCGGGACGAGCCCAGGCATTTGCCGCGGGTTCCTGCGCCAACAGAGCCAGAGCCAAACACGCACTGGCGGAACGTAGCAGCATTGCATCGTCACCGGCTTCCTGTAGTACCGTTGTAAGACACTTGGCCACAGCAGCAAACTTTCCACGTAGTACGGCATGTGGCACTTCAGGCAGAACCATAGACAGCAGTTGTGCCACCTCTTGGCGGTGCGAGTCGGAGGCGGCGTCCAGTGCTGTCATAAGCGCAGCAAAATACTCAGTGGGCGAGATCGGAGCAGAGCGATCACCAGTGCCACGCCGTTCATAAATAACGTCGATGATAGCACCTAGTACCACATTAAGCTTGGCCTTTTGTGGATGTGTACTACCTGCGTGCTTGCGCAATTCCGTGAACGGGTCCATCACAGGTTGCGCTATTGTTATTGTATGGGATTAATGGGAATCAATGGAAAAGAGATGATGTAGCAGAATAAACCATTGGCAGGCCGAGTCCAAATCTTCGACAACTTTCGCGTCACATGAAAATTCACTAACTAGTCAAACGTGATGTGGTTGGACATCATATTCTATGACATTTGATAATCTTAAATAAATCTATCCAATATCATCATACACATCATATAGCATAGTACTGCGACCCCTCGGTATTCCACTCGGCACGATTTAACTGCACCATTCTCGCCCTCTAAGCCATGTCTTGGCTTGTATTCCTATCACTACTGTACGTTATTGGTGCTTTATTGGATGTTCAAGTAAATGCTGAACAAGAACGACCGAACAGTCGTTTTGCTTATGTTACTGTACACTATGAAGGCACAAGTCGTGACGCTGAGTATGTACTAGGAGTTCAAGTGATGATGCAGTCAATCAAAATGACGGGTTCACCCTACGACTTGGTCGTATTGGCTTCTGATTCCGTATCAGACAAAAGCAAAGAGTTATTTCGATTGATGGGGTGTCGTGTACTTGATGTAACGAACATCAATAATCCATTTGTTGGAGGAACACTCCGTAACAAGAATTTCATCTACACACTGAACAAGTTGCATGTGTGGAATATGCTTGAATATGAACGTGTCGTGTATCTTGATGCTGACAATGTATTGATTCGTAATGCGGATGAGCTTTTTCTTTGTGGAAAGTTTTGTGCTGTATTTATGAACCCATGTCATTTCCATACGGGATTACTCGTTGTGACACCCTCTGCTACAGAATATCAACGTTTGTTAAAGGCTTTAGATCATTTGGAAAGTTTTGATGGAGCTGATCAGGGATTTTTTTCGTCCATGTATAGTAAAATGCTTCGAAAAGCCAAGTTGTTTACACCTATGAAGGCATCGTTTATAGGTGCAGAACTGCAAGGGCTGAATAAACCGGAATCGGAACCCAAGGGTATGAGATTGCCTGTGGGCTACAACATTAATCACAAATATTTCTACGAACAGTACCATTGGAAATTGTTTTACTTGCGGCAGTTTGCATCCATGACGTCGCCTATTAGTCCGATTAAGGTGGTGGTGGAGTCAGCAAGAGGTATTCCAGCACTTACGGTTGGATACCCCATGGCATCTGTCTTGAAGCCGTGGTACTGGTGGGCAGGTTTCTTTATGGATTTGCATGCTGTGTGGCATGATATTCGTGCAAAATTGCCACCTTCGCAAGAACGTTATGGAGCTGAAGAAGCTGTTAAGACTCTGCTAGGCTTCTTTAGCTCCTTAGCACTGCTTACGGCGGCTCTTTATTCGCTCAAGATTACGTTACCCATACGTCAAATCCAGCAGCGATGTACAGACGTGGCCATGCGGAATCGCAAGCAGGTCCGATATGCTTTTTTGGCGCTTCGGATGGCTCTTGTGGTACTCGCCTTTCGAATTGCTCCTGCACGCGTGCATCCGTTAGCTCCCGTGCACTATGGATACGGCCTCACGATTTTCATGAATGTGTTCCTCCACATATACTTTGCCTGTGTGATTTCCAACTTTTGGGATCCGCACCAAAAGGTGTCCATTCCACCTGTACTTTATGTGACTCGGTTTTGGCTCTATGTGGCTGTCACGTTGGCATTCGAACTCTTTGTGGTCTGGTTCAGTACATGGAATGTGTTTCTGAACGTGCTATGGCGACTGTTTTCGATTTTCTGCTCCGTCTTCCTTTGCGCGTACTGGCAAGTCACGTATTACCGTCTCACGCTAAATGCTGAGTTTAGTGGTAAGAAGGAGCGAATTAGGAGCCTCTAGGTGCGCTGCTATCTATTGTTGGACCAAGATGGCCGTGACCTTTTATGCATGAAGGATACATACAATTTAGCTGTGATCGAGCTTTACTGGAAAGAGATGAAGTCAGCAAGGCGCAGCAGTACCAGGGATAGTGAAAATGCATGCTGCCGTCCTGTAACATTTTGTTATGCCGGCCAAAGCGGAACGGTGCAGTTGGAGCTAGAAATACGCTGAGAAATGGCCATTTGATCCAACTCGTGGCGAGCTGCAATCAAACAAGCGACCGATTGAAAATATGTAACAGGACAGGACGGACGAGCAGCAAAGAACCAGTGTCAACAAGTCCAACAGGAAAGGTAGATGAGCCGCCTAGTCCTGTAATATGAATAGAGATGAACTTAAAATGCTGCAACACGCGTGAACCAGATCCTCGTGGTGTTTTAGTTTCGTCGCGAACACCTCTGTTCTATAATGAGATGTGACGGGTCATGGACTCAACAGCATGCTGCGATCGAATGCAACGCTTTTGAGAAGGAGCTTCTCGCCAATGAAACGTCCATACGTTGGCAAGGGGTTGCTGTATATGATGCAAAGGCGTTACCAGCAAGGACAAAGGCCACGCTATTGAACCAGGGAAGGTTATGCACAGAGAGCTGGCCGCAGATCCAAAACGAAACAGTCTTGTTTTCAGTTGATCATAACGCGCTTAGGTGCTTGCAGAACAATAACCCATGAGTTGGCGAAGTGTTGCGGCTGCAGCGGCTTCTTTGCCTTCTCCTGTTTGCGCTGACGCCAGTGTAGAAGCAGCCGCAACAGTTTCAAGCTCACCAGGCACAGGGCGACACGTCGGTCCGCTCAAGATGCAACAGTATTTCTCCTTTACCCCCTTTTCATCTTGGCTTCTAGTTCCTGCAGCAGTGGTTCACATGCAACGACTTACAGGGCTTCCTTTTACTGCAACACTTCTCCTGCAACACTTCTCCGTGATACATCTTGTAAGACACCACATTGGTATCGATACGAACCAAACGTGTCATGAGCTTTCTCGGTGCTATCCAGCTGACGCCTCTACTCCTTGACTTGGTCATTTGCTTGCACACAAGAGATACCGGAAACGACACCAACGTTACTTTCACGTAACTACCTTAGTGAATCGTACCATTGTGCAGCACGAGTTTAATGAAAAAAACTTTGTGAATAAAGTCGTCTACGACTGAAGGGTTACACTAAAGTGGACGCATGTACCATCATCGCCTGTATGAGATAACACTGCGGTCTACATCATATCGTCAAAGGAGTCGCCTCCCTATCAACTCTAGGTGACAAGATTGACGATGTCGCTGTATCTTGTCTAGAGGTTGTCGTGGAGTCAAAACAGATAGCGGCAAAGCTTCCACGCTGTTGTCTTCGTTTTCATTACCGTCCAGCCCAACACCATCGTCTCGTGTTGAAACGTATCATCATCATCGTCGTCTTCAGCGAACATACTACTTTCCAGAACAATTAGTGCGGCATCTTTCTGTACTGAGTGGCATCTCCTTGCGGTGTTGCCCTGTTCAATCACCACAACAGATGTCGACCTTCTGGGATAGCCACAAACAGCACGGCTTTGTCTCGCTAATCAAATATATAACTCTTTGTACCTAGCCGGCAGCCCCATCACCTGCTGTCATGCAAGCAATATCATTGCGCTAGATCATTTTGAATTAGGGCCTGTCAGCATCGTAGATCTTTTGTCATCGTCTTTCGGTAATGCATCGGCTGATTTTGATTGTGTCGAAGCAGCTGTTGTTTCACTTCCTGACTCCGTCGTAATGGGCTTCGTTTTCTCACTCAAGTGTGCTTTTCTAGTCTTCTCTGCAGTTTCCTTCGCTGCTGCATCTTCCACTTCCTGCCGTTGCTTCTCGCGCTGCTGGTCCATTATCTTCTTAATCTGATTTTCAATAATACCCTTGTGATCATCTGCTGCTTGCTTTGCGAACGCAATAATCAGTGCATCCTTGCGTTTTAACTCCATCTCTTTGCCCTCACGGTAGCCTTCTATGAATGCCATTAGCACCGATTGACCAACGAGCAATTTGTCTGCAAACCATGACTGGACGCTCTTCTTGAAGGTGCTAATATCCTGAGTATCCAGACGCAAGGCAGCATCTCTTCCTTCTTTCACAAGACCACGAAGTTCGTCCACGTTCTTCTTGACAGTCGTAGCTACGTCGTCTTTGCTAGTATTGTCTTCCACCACCTGCTTTGCACGGTTGATCACCGCATCGGTATCCACACCTTCCACCGCGTGCTTAATCTCCTTATTCAAAAAATCAGCGTTCGTAGCTCCCTGCTCTCCAAGTTTGTGGAGATTGTTGTGTACTTTGAAACCTTCCAGACTCGTGTCAATGAACGTCAAATTCTTGCGTGCAGTGCTTGAAACCTGACCACTGACTGCTTGTACTACGCGTTTCACATCCTCCTTACTGCGTTGCAGTTCTTCATCGCTGGGTTTGGCAAACGACGCCTTGTACTCTTGCCATACCTCGTGGAAGATACGGCAGTGGTCGGACAATGTGAGCTCCCACAGGTCCACAAAGTGAGGCTTACGTCGTCTCTCCTCTTCTTCAGGCGGATTCGGTAGACCAGGCACACGCACTGCAGCCCAGCGGTCCAAGCGACGGATTGATGTCTGTACCAAGCGAACTGTGCGCTGGAACAGCGAGTAGCTCTTCGGGACGGGTGGCTGCGGCATCGTTTTCGATTAGCAGTATACTCGTTAAAAGGGGTGTGCATAACGTAAACTGAGTTACTTCGATTTAAAAGGTGTGTATTCTTACACCTTATTCGCAGAAAGAGGTGTACAAGAAAACAAAACGTTACAATTTATTTAAAAGGAAGTATGTATACGTCTGCAAAGCTTTACACGTTTATTTACTACTTCAATTACTTTATCCATAACATTCCCGTTTTACTGTGCGATACAATACATACGGTACCGTGGTGGTAGAAACTATTCAAAGCCGTTGTTTTGCTTTTCATGCCGAATGTAAGTCTAGTCACAACAAGTGCTTGCATATGTATGAATACAATCTGTAAGAGAACTGGTGTCATCATCAAATGGAATTGTACACGTGTGTAAAAAAACACACAAGCAACAAAGCATGGCGTAGCTACGATAGCAAACGCCTTTGACAACTGCTGAGATGTCATAATCGTGGCAACACTTACCACTTTGGGCGTATCAGAAATTTCAACTTGCTCTTCTCATCGATACTACGAATGACGTCATATTTAGGCAGCTCAATTAGGCGTCCATAAACAGATGGATACATTAGTGTGCTTCCTATCGAGCAACTGTGTCGATTGTCAATTCAGCGCTATCACTGAAGCTGCTAGGTGTGATACTTGCAATTCTCACTTTAGCCTTTGTGGTGAAGCATTTCAAGAATTGGTAGGTCAGATGACCGGTGGGTCTAAAAGAAGGGGACCCGCCAAGGGGTAAGGGACAGAGAGACGGAGCGCTAAAAAGGGACGGGGAACGACCGTTGGATGAGAAGATTGTACAATTTCAGCGTGCTCCTATTTATGAGAGTTAACTGCAGTTAGGCCGATGGACCGCGGTTCCTCGAGGTAGACCCCGATTTTTCCAATTTGGTTGACCCTGGTCCCTCGTTGGCGAACCTTGGTCTTTCGAGGTTGACCCTGGTCCCTCGTTGGTAGACCTTGGTCTTTCGAGGTTGACCTTGGTCATTTCGAGGTTGATCCGGGTTCTATCATTAGTAGACCTTGGTCTTTCAAGATTGACCCTGGTCCATCATTAGTAAACCTTGGTCTTTCAAGGTTGACCCTGGTCCATCATTGGTAGACCTTGATCTTTCGAGGTAGACTTTGGTCTTTCGAGGTAGACCTCGGTATTTTGAGGTTGAACCTGGTCTATCATGGGTAGACCTTGGTCTCACCTTCTGAGGTCGACCCTGGTAGATCATCGATAGACCTTGTTCTTTTTAGGTGGACCCTGGTCTCTAGTGTGGTGAAGAAAGCAAAGTGGCATAAGATTCGAAGGTAGTAGGGAAGCAGAGATACAAGACAAAGACTGGGAGGAATATGAACGCAAGTATATTCAAATGGAAACGCCTACGGGGTGGGAGACGAACTTGTTCCGGAGACGCGGTACCGAGTACCCAGGATGGGGCTCAGACGAAAGTCGATACTGGGGGTGATCCAAGGGTAGGTGGACTCGGAGATCTTTATGGCCTCCACCAAGTTGGCGGGATCCAACCCTTCCTCATAACCTGAAAACCAGTATACCACGCAGCGAGGTCGAGGAAGGTGCCGGAAGAAGGGGTCGAGCAGGATATCGATATCGCACGACCGTCGCTCATCCCTTTGAAAATTGTGTCGACGACTCCTCGCCACGCCCGAATCACACGACCACGACGTTTCTTCCGTGCATTTTAGTACGACTAGAGGAAGGGGCTAGCGCGCGCTTGATCTTTGGAGATCCATAAGCAGTGGGTAGCCTCCCAAATCGCTTGGCTGTGATCTTCGTCAAAACGCAGGTAGATCGCCTCCAACTCCGCGAGCCAGCCCACTGGATGGAAAGATACGGGGGTCGAGACTCGAGCTGACAGCCATGGTCGGGCGACCAAGAGGCTCTGGAGCATCGAAGAGCTGACCAACGATGGTTTTCACTTGGAAGGTCGATCGACCTTCCCGTATAGTGGACCAAACCAGCCCCAAGGCAACTCCAGGCGGTCGACTAAGTCGCTAGGGGTCATCGTCACGACACTCAACGAGTTGACCAGGTCGACCGACCAAGGCGCCACCTTCGCTGCAGTGAATGATTTCACCTGCATATACCCATGGATGAAGTCACCTTTCGGAAGTGTAGGTGACTCCCCTGGGGCGGACCCCGCCTTAGCGACTGAGGCGGGGGCCTTCTCTCCCGTAACCGACTCGATCTCGGATTCACAAGATCCGAACATGGCTCGGAATAACTCTGGACCTGGAAGAGTGACCGGTCGGGGAGCATAGTTGGCCGAGACAGCTAGAAGCGGCGGGTCGATAGGCGTGGTGCGACGCCGGGAAGACCGCGACCAAGCCAAGGTCGCCCGGACCACCTCGCTGCCGTCGCTTGCAGTGTCATCATCCGGATCAGGAGAGGGTACCGAAGGTAGATCCCGGGGGATCCACGACTTGAGCGCGGACGAAGCGGGAGTGCTGGGGGTACTTAACTTGACAGACTTGGGGACCTTAGCGGTCGTCTTGGCCGATGAGCGCCGAGGTCGCTTACCCGTCACCGGTCTGGGGGGCACTGTGGGAGCAGTCACGGAGGATCCTTGAATGGATTTGTGCTGCAATCCTCTTGCTCCAACTCCGCCATCATGAGAGCGTAGCGGCTCTGGCGGTAGTCCATCCGCCACCGCAAATGATCTCGTTCATCAATGGACCTCGGTCCTTGGGTCGATGGATGCTTGGCCCCTCGGCCTCTGAAGGAAGACTTGGTCCTTCATCAATAGTCCTCGGCCCTTAGCAGACAGACCTTGGCCCTTAGGTCGATGGACTCTCGACCCTTCGGTCCCCGAAGGTCGACCTTGGTCCTCCAACAATGAACCTTGCCCTTTAGCCGATAGACCTTGGTCCTTAGGTCGATGGACTCTCGGCCCTTAGGTCCCTGGCCGCTTGGACTCTCGGCCCTTAGGTCCCTGGCCGCTCGGACTCTCGGTCCCTGGCCTCTCGACCCCTCGGTCCCTGGCCTCTCGGCCCTTCGGTCGATATACCCTAGCCAAGCAGAATCAAGAATCAGGTCTCGGGAGTAAGGATAGAGTAAAGAAGTTAAGAAATAGGACTATATTAAATACTACCTAATTTGAGATCTACATAGCACACCTCCGTCGTGCTTCCAGGAAATTACTAAGTCTACCCACCTGTTCCGGGAAGGAATATACTTTGGCCTCCCGTCGAAGACAGTCGTGTGGTAAGACCCAAATGCGAATAGAGCCCCAGGATATAGTTGGTCTGTGGGTTCGTCTGAGTAGCACCCCCCAAATCAACCCGCTATCGGAAGCGGTCTCCCTACCCTAGCGGTTCGAGAGCAAGTAAAAGCCAGGCGGTTAATACCCCTAAGATATCAAGGAAAAGGAAGGAAAAGGCCAGGGTAGAGAATCTCCCCCGAAAAGTTCGGTTATAAGCCCCACCCTCGACCTAGTTGACCGAGTGGCCGCCTACCCGCCTACCGAGTGAAGTATATCCACCCGAGGCATCCCAAGGTTGACCTCCCTCAAAGTCGACATCCCATCTCAAACAAGTCTCCGAAAAGTGTAACCCGCCAACCGACGGGTACACAAGGTGAGAGAAGGTCTATACGCGGCAACGGGGTACCCCCTCCGACAGTCGGCAATCCGGCACAGTGAGCGGCTTGGGGTCTCATTATTACGCATTTTTGAGAGCCCATTACACCACACCTTCTCATAGCAGAGCTATCGTAGCAAAGCTACTTGCGCACTAAGTACTGAGGATGGCGAGCTCTAGGAGCTTCTCGTCTTGGGGATTGACCCTCATAAGGCTATCTTTACAAGCTTGTGGCTTTTGACTGTTTACAACCTTTTAATTGTTTACTAGCTTTACAAGCTAGCCTTGGGAGGGTTAGCAAACCTAAAATGTAAAACCCTTGTCTTCCTCTGTACTAAGTGCATAAGTAGCTTTGCTACGGTAGCTCGGCTAAGCCTGGTAGCATTTGTAATCAATACCGCCCTGGGTTTGTGACTATGTGGTGAAGCGTTTCAAGAACTGGGAGGTCAGAGGACCAGTGGGTCAAAGAGAAAGGGACTTGCCAAGGAGGGGCGACCGTTTAGTAAGGTACAAAGAGACGGGGCGCTAAAAGGGACGGGCAGTTGGATGAGAAGAATGCACGGTCAAAGCGTGCTAGTTAGCCGCCATTCAAAGAAGTTACCGCGGTTAGCCCGATGGACCGCGGTTCCTCAAGATGGATCCCAGTCCTTCAAGGTCGATCCTAATCTATCATTGGTAGACCTCGGTCTTTCATACAGGTATACCTTGGCCCTTCGGTCGATGGACTCTCGGCCCTTCGGTCCCTGAAGGTCGACCTTGGTAGGTGGTCCAGCGGGAATCCGTCTGACCTTTTACTTGCGTAATAATATTGGCGTGCCACTGGTACCCCTAAACCACAGAACTACATCTGGAATTCTAGTAACAAATCCTTCCAATTTCCTTGAACAGTTCGACCTAGTTGACGATACCAGTTCTGGGCATGTCCAGTCAATAATCCTTCAAAAACGAGACACTTCTCCCCATCTGGCGCTTGGTCCCTCGTGAACGCGGTCTTCACAGTGGTCACCCAGCTGCGTGCTCGGTCCTCATCTTGGTCTTTACCATGAAACTCCTTGAGATCCGAGGTCGCTGAGAGCTTGATACGAGGGACAATGTTGGGCACCTGTCCCAAGGTGACATTGGCCCTTCTTGTCTGAGGTCCATGTCCATGTCGTCTGGGTCGCATTCGCACAAACCTACCGGTTCCTTCTCCACGTCGGTAATTCCTTGGTCTCTTGCAATTTTCATACCTGCACTTGGGCCCAGCTGGGCCGTCGGACTCTGCGCCCTCTGTCGTCCTCTGGCCGCACTTCCATCGATGTATGTTTGCGGTACTTAGTGTACTTGTGAGAATTTCACCATTGCCACGTCGAAGTATGCCTGTAAATCACCTAACGGGTTGTACATCTGGATGTTGTCAGT